GGTTACCGTCACGCTGTGCTGGGAGGGGGCGCTTACTGTCACGCTGTGCTGGGGGGGGTGGGGGCACTTACCGTCACGCTGTGCTAGGAGGGGCGCTTACGTCACGCTGTGTTGGGGGGAGGGGGGTAGATTGCGCACCGGTAGAACAGTGAGTTAGGTGCTGGCTTTAATGGGTTTAACCCACACAATGCCAGGAGGCTAGCGACAAATCAATAGGCATTTAGCAGTTATAATTTTAGCAGGATGTTGGCTTTGTATCTTCATATCCTTCTGGTAATATAGTAAATTACTAAAAAATAACTTAAAATATCTTTTAATACCTGTGTACAGGTAAGGAGGCAGCATGTTGAGATTCTTATTAGCTCGTATTGGACTGTAAATCCACGTGTCAGACAGATTTAATAAGGTAACCAGTTCATTCTTGAGACACTACTTAACTTATCTTGGGTCATGTTCTTCTATAAGACCCAGGCGACGGACACTGAAGGATTTGTTTCACTAAACACCATCTAAAATGAACTGAATCAAATTGCTACATTTTGGCTAAACGAGCCAATATGTAATTTATAGTTGGGTTGAAGAATTTTCCCAAATCAGTACTTTTTGTCACAGCTACCTCGCCGCCGGCCTACAGTATTCATCTCAGCTGGCCGCCCAGCTGCCTCAGCGGGAATGGGCTCACAAGTCCCAGACGCCAAGACAAAACTCATGGTCGCAAGTTTAGGATAACACAATCAAGATGGGGAAAACTGCTGAATATTTTTTATTTTTTTTTCCTCGCATTCTGCTTGATTGGCATAAAATTCCCTTAACGTTCCCTTGTCCATTCTCAGATAGCTAAATAACCCCCTTATCAAAACATCATATGATGTTGTTGTTGTTGTTGTTGTTGTTGTTGTTTTAACCCCTTAAGGACACATGACGTGTGACATCTCATGATTCCCTTGTATTCCAGAAGTTTGGTCCTTAAGGGGTTAAGCCCAGATTTTGACTTGGTACAAAGAGTGGGTGTTTGAATTTTGATTTGCATCCATGGTGGAAATTCTTGGACAAAAACCTGACAAAATCTTTCAAATTATTTGTGGCTGATGGCTAAACGTGAAGCTACATCTGTTTATGAACTCCAACTGCTGTGACGCTCAGCCAGTGTCTAACCCTAGCTGTAGTGTCAATGTTCCAGTGTCTATGATGTAGGAGGTGTTGCGGCGAGATTTATTATGGTACGGTGCTGTAATACTTGGCTTACTCTTGTGATTTCCAAATCTTGTCTGCTGCTAGCATCAGGTTCCAATACCAGGACAGAAACACTATAGCCGCCTCTCCTGATGGGATGAATGCCAGGTTAGCTCTGACACTTGCCCTACTTTCCCGAGAACAAAGCTTGTCTTGTTACCTACATTATCGCTCTGTTTACTGTACAAAGCAAAGCGACATTAAGGGAATTTTTTGGGGTGTGAAAAAAAAAAAATGTTATTACTGGAGAGGCAAGTGGATATTTAAGTCTTGTGATTTGAATGAAAAATGTCAAAACAATAAATGTTGCTGTTTTTTGATCAGAATGTATCACTCCAGCTGCTGTGTCATTGTAACTCCTATTTCTCTGTATACTCTGAAATTGCACATGGGCTGCAGTTTGCTGGCACAGAGCAGGGCGTAGCTAATGTAAGCTCTGGGGAGACGCCAGGGCACTCCTAGTACCACACCCCTACAGTGGGCTGAAGTGGTTATGGTGCTTGACTTGTTACTTTTAAGTCACTCCCTCTTCATACGGCCTTCTTCTGGTCTCTTGCTCCAGGAGCACTGATGTTGGACTCCCACGTGTGTCAGAAACGGAGGTCTATGGAAAATCCCACTAGACTGCAGCACCAGTCTTGGAAAATCTCATAAACACTGTGGGAGGCCATAGGCAGCTATTGCGGGGAAATTTTTTTCCCATCAGATATTGTGAGTGATGGCTGATAGGTAATACATGGCAGGTTTGCTCGCAGCTGATTGAACATTTGCCTTTTGACAAAAGTCAGTGCGTATTTAAGAAAAAGCAACCCCTGCTGTAATTTATCTGGTTGTATTGGAATTTTCAGTAAGGGGTTTCTTTTTTTCATTAAGCTTACATCATGGAAGAACTTAAGTGACAGTGCCCCTTTAAATGAGATAAGGTTAAAGGTCACCAGAACAAATTTGTTCTGGTGAGTAGAATCATTACCTCCAGGCTTTTTGCTGTAAACACTGTCTTTTCAGATACCTCCACTGGCCACTCCTCAGATGGCTGTTAGAGGTGCTTCCTGGGGCATTGCTGCACAGTGTGACTGACATTCAGTGTCTCCTCCCTCTGCATGCAGACACTGAACTTTCCTCATAGAGATACCTTGATTCAATGTATCTCTATGAGGAGATGCTGATTGGCCAGGGCTGTGTTTGAATTGTGCTGGCTCTGCCCCTGATCTTCCTCCTTGTCAGTCTCAGCCAATCCTATGGGGAAGCATTGTGATTGGATCAGGCTACCACTTCTGATGATGTCAGCAGGCAGTGGGCAGGTCAAAAGGAAACCAGCACAAAGCCAGCAGCTCCAGACTTGAATACAAGTAAGATTTAAATATATTTAGGGGGGCATAAGGGGCCATGGGGGGCTAGATGGGGGTTTTAACCCTATAGGGTCAGGAATACATGTTTGAAAAAAACAGGATTATTCAGATTTTAGTACATTAAATAGATAATACATTTTAAAAATTTCTATAGGGTCAGGAATACATGTTTGTGTTCCTGACCCTATAGTGCTCCATTAATGATCATCCAGGAATTTGAAACAAATATGCTTTAAAATTTTAGTGATTGAGATGTCAATGGAAGGCTTCAGCCTGGGCACCAGAAGGGTATAGACACTGTGCCAGCCAACTATACCAACCTCGGCATGTCCTATACTGAATTGTAACCCCAAATCTGCAGATTACCTGATCTATCCACTCGGGTCACATATCTGGGCTAACGTGAATACCAAACACAGCTATTCAACCCAATGACCGTAAAGGAACCTCTCAGATCACATTGAACCAAAAATAGCGCGGTATCTCCAGTTCCTATTCTGGGAACTAAATACTTCTTTGCCATATGGTGTCTCTAGACCTGAATTGTCTGAATGATATGTGAAGCTGCAGATAGAGCTTTACGGTATTCCCCCCCGACAAAAAAAAAACAGGATTATTCAGATTTTAGTACATTATATAGATAATACATTTTAAAAATGTCAAATTCCTAAATACCCCTACATGTACGGTGTGTTCGGTTTGGACTGATTTAGACAGCAAAGAAGAAAGTATGATTTTTTTTTTTTTTTTTTTTAAATTTTAATGACAAAAATGTAGCAGGGACTATATTTTCTTTAGTACGAGTCACTTGGTTCATTAAACGGACATTCTTCATTTTCTATGTATAACTGGAGCTGTGAACAGGCATGTTTAATTATTAAAGTGTTGGAGAAATGGTGTGTGCTGTTTTTCATTTGGAATAACCATTGTATTTTTATTTATTTTTTTTAATTCGCTCTAGTGAGCAGCAGTTCTTCTTCAAATGCATAATTTGTGTTTCTTTTGATAGTAAATGATTTTCTTAATCTTGCTCAAGTGACAGTTTTTTTTTTTTTTATCTTCAAGATAGGACTCTTTATCAGCAAAGATTGTCTGCTGCTTTGTGTGTGTCCTCCAGAAATCAGACAATTTGCTCTCTCTAGTGAAATGTTCTGGATTTTGGAGTGATGAGCTAAATGCAAGTATGAACCTCAGGACCCTGAGGGAATGATGAGTCAGGGGGTAAAGTTTAACCGAAGCTGCAGTGCTGTCAGTGTGAGAGGCAGAGCGATATGATCATTGGTAGCGCTAAGCTCAGGGAAATTTAAAGAACCAAAAGTAAATGAGTTTTGGGTTTGGAGAATTATTTGCTGAATGACTTTTATCACTAATGCATGTTTATACAAGAAAAAAATATAGATTAGTTGCAGATCACTCCAAGAACAAAAAGCAACATTACCCTACTTTAATACTTGGTGGGTTCATGGGCAAAGTTCTGATCGTGGTTTCCATGGTGATTGCTCCACATTTAGAAATTTGCCACAGAATTGTTCTTTATATACAATCCGTTTAGTTTTATTTTTCTGTTTCTTCTCCCTCTCTACCTTCCCAGAGCCTGTTCAGAGGGTTCACGATGGTCAACGCAACCAACATGGACAGTGGCAGTAGCACAGAAAATTCCAAGGAAAGCTCCCGATGTTCTACACCGATCCTGGATATTGAGAGACACGAACGTCTCCAGGATAAAATGCGCCGGCGCATAGATGCTGGAGATAAGTGGTTCTCTCTGGAATTCTTTCCACCACGTACAGCGAGCGGTGCCGTCAACCTGATATCCAGGTAGGAAGAGCTTTGAGTGGAAGTAAAAGTCTGTTGGTTAACTCTTTACAGTAAAGTAAAGCATTTTGGAGCTTTATTTATAAAATATTTTACCAGGAAGGATACATTGAGATTTCTCTCTAATTTTCAAGTATGTCTTGGGTCAACAAACATTGCATTGGTATAATAGAATACAATAAAATACAAAAACCAATATTAATACACAATAAATACAAATGTAACATAGAGCAGGTAGGAAATATATAATCAACCATGACAGGCGCATTCTGTTTTGAGGTATGTTGAGAGGGATCTCTTAAAGGACTTTAGGCTTAGGGAAGATCTGAAAGTGTGCGGGAGGTCGTTCCACAATGGTTGTGCTCTATTGGAAAAGGAGGATCGAACTGCTTTCTTTTTGTATCGAGGTAGACTAAGTAAAGTGCTGGTACTGGATCGGATCTTATAGGAGGTGGGAATAACCTCCTATATATGTTTCTAGACAAACTACTAGCACGTGTTCTGGTCAAAATTATATTTCATATTTTTCTTCTTATAAAGCATTGACAACACACTTTTTTCCAAATACACAACACATCACAGAATTGCACTATACACCTTCCAATGGCATCAAGAGGTCACAATAAAACGTATTTAATCCATACCTTGGTTTATTGAGCTGCAGAAAGTATAGGCCACATCTGGACTTGGAATGTGTTTGATCTTGTGACATTGCAGAGTTTGACATGAAATGTTGTACTTTGATTGTGCAACCTATAGCGACTTTCCCAGTATTTCTTTAATTCGTTGTATCTGTCCATATTACAGATTTGACCGTATGGGCTCCGGAGGTCCTCTCTTTATTGATGTGACTTGGCATCCGGCAGGAGACCCCAGTTCAGACAAGGAGACCTCATCCATGATTACTGCAAGTACAGCTGTGAATTTCTGTGGACTGGAGACTGTTCTCCACATGACTTGCTGCCACCAAACTAATGACGAAATCACCAGAAATCTTCAAAAAGCAAAACGTCTTGGATTAAAAAACATTATGGCTCTGAGAGGAGGTAAATGCGAGAGAGTCTATTTTCAAATCTAACTTTCAATATTGTGGCAGATCTGGGGGGCTGGTTCTTTATTGGCTGTGTGAGGGTTTTTTGCATGTGTCTGTCTAGTGTTTTTTTGTATTTTTTCCCTTAATATAGTCAATTTTTAGTATACTTTTCTGTTTAAAATTGTACGGCTGGTTCACATTCAGGTAGAAATCTAATCTATACACTGCTGGCCAATATTCAGATATCTCCATAAACTTTGTTCAGGTTTACTGTATGGGTATCTCTCATGATGAGCTACATCGAAGGCAAACATTAGGGGGTTACGGAAATCCCCGCAAAGTGCCTGACCCCAGGGCCATATCATTATTTATTTATTTATTTATTTATTTATTTTTCTCTTTTTATGTTTTCTAGACCCCATTGGTGAGGAATGGGAAGAGGAAACCAATTGTTTCAATCACGCTGTAGATCTTGTCAAGCACATTCGACAGGAATTCGATGGTTATTTTGATATATGCGTCGCAGGTAACTTGACTTCCTGATGTGTACGTGTGTGTACGTAAAATTGAGGGCACTGATGACTAATCGTGCATTCACATGAACCTTGGTCAGCCTAGCTGTTAGCTGCTTTTGCAAAATAGCGTTTTTGTAAGAGGTTTTATATTTTATATTGCTTTCTGTACATGAATTGAGTTCTATTTTGGAATAATAGAATTGTATTCTCATGCAACTGATCCCCATATTCACAAACCGACAACCCACCCAGTCTTGAGTCTGTTTTACAGCTTGACTCCTTAAACATAGCTTTTATAAAACAGCTGTAATTTTAAGGTGTCATGCTCATGTGTTCTGCAAGGTCTACTGGCCTTTCTATATTGCACTGTCTATATTCTCCATGTTTTACAGCGCTGCAGCATATTTTGCATCCTTGAGTGTGGAATCATATTGATGTAAAGTGTGTGTGCTTTCTCTGTGTGCAGGATACCCCAAAGGTCACCCTGATGCCGAAAGTTACGAGCAAGACCTGATATATCTCAAGGAGAAAGTAGACGCCGGCGCTTGTTTTATAGTCACGCAGCTCTTCTTCCGTTTTGAAACATTTTTAAAGTTTTTCAAGGATTGTAGAGAAATCGGTATCACCTGTCCAATAGTTCCCGGAATCTTTCCAATCCAGGTACGCGTCCCATACAGTAACAATACGGAACCATCCGTGCATGCAGAAAGAATAAATAGCAGATGATGCAGTACCTTAAAGGGTAATTACTATAAAGATAAGGATGTGCAAGGGTGAACGTGTGTCATCCATAGATTCATTTGGGGGGCGGGGGGGGGACAATGTAAATGTATTTTTCATGTCACTATGCGCTTTCTATTATTTCATTAAAAAAAATCTTTATCAGGCAGTTGGAGGGGGATGGGGGATGGGGGATAACAGGATTAGAAAGGTTAGAATACAATATTAATTGTAATTAAGATTAGTTTTACTTTCAAGTTACTAAACTGGAGATAAACTTATAAAGAGTTTAGGCATAGTTGCATACACCTGTCACCTATGTACAGACTTTCTGGAATGAAGGCTAAATGTATTGGGGACAGGTCTGCTCAGGGCAACGGATTGTGAATTTTCCTGTTTATCTTGACCAGCAGAGCGAGAGTTTACGCAAGCCTGGAATTCAGCCTAGGGAGTCATAATTAAGCCCTGGTAAATGTGTCATGGGCCATCCATGTTTGCAGTGAGTGGCCTGGCTAGTAGTGTAGGGCTTGACATTTCATCAGGGTCCATACAGATGTTTAAACTGCAATTGGATAAATACTTGCAAAAAACATAACATACAGGAATATAATTTCTAATTAGTGGGGTAATAGCTGCTTGATCCAAGGAGATATCTCACTGCAATTTTAGAGGTCAAGAAGGATTTTTTTTTCCTGTCTTAAGTGGAAGTACTGCACAAGTGGGTTGTTCCCTCTTATGTGGACAAGAAGCTCTGTAAAATATAAAAATGTAAATACTCCCGCCTACCTGTTCATGAAAGGCAGTACCCTCCTTCCATCCACAGTTCTTCTTGTCCCGAGAACCGGACGGTTCAGAAAGATTGGTGAGGCTCACAAGTTGCAGCCAGGGAGATGCGGACCCAAAAGCTCCCCGGGAGGTGAGCTGCGAGGTACCCCTTCCACACAAGCGTTACGGAACGCAAGTGGAAGGGATTTTCATTATGCTGACAGGAAGTTGGAGGTCCCGAGCGACCCTCCAATCCAGAAGCAGGCCACGATTTTGTAGTGTTTCTGGGTCCTCGATCTCTTGGTTGTGTGTGAGGCATAGGCGTGGGGTTAAGTCTATGGTGTAGGTCGGTCTGTTCTGTTAGGGGTTGTCCTGTGGTATCTTGTGGTCTACGTTGGCTGGCAGGGAGAGGTGGATTTCAAGTGTCAGGGGTGGGTGAGTTAGAAGATGGGAGGAGGAGGGTGAGAAAAGGGAAGAAGAGAAAGAGGGGGTGGGGGAACGAGGGGTCCTGTTTGGGCATAGTCAAGATGTCAGCGCCGTAGTGTGGTGGAGGAGATATGAGGCTGGTGTTTGTGGCAGGGCTTCATCCGTCACCTCTTTTATCACTCTGCTGATTGTCCTCCAGAATGGCGTAATGAGGACACAGTCCCACCACATGTGGAGGAAGGTGCCTCTCTCTTCTCCGCAGCGCCAACAGGTGTCTGGTATATTATGATCACGGGTGTGTTGGGTAGTTGGGGTGATGTACCATCTTGTGAGAACTTTGTAAACGTTTTCTTGTAGCCGTGCAGATCCCGAGTTTTTTTAGGTGTGTGTGATTTTTGTCCCAGTCAGCCTCCGTGATTGTTTCGTTGAGGTCTTCTTCCCATTGTCTGATGCAAGGTGGTGCCAGGAGGTAGCGGCTTGTCACCAGTGAGGTGTAAATCTGGGAGATAGCCCTTGGTGGTGGTGTGTCTTGCAGGCAGAGGGATTCAAATTCTGTTGGGTCCCAAAGTATGCTGGGTTTATGTGTTATTGAGCGGGCGTAGTGTGCCATTGTGTGTAGGTGTTCTGGAAAGAGGTCGGTTTGAGGGCGGATTACGCATGGCGGGGATATCACATCAGCCATGCGGGGGATTTTGTCTCTGTTTGTCAGGTGTGTGAGTGGGCCGTGGTCGTCCGCTTGGAAGTGCGGGTTACCCCACAGGGGGAGCATGGGGCTTAGGTCGGTCGTGAGACAGTATTTGGCACCAGATTTGGAGTGTTGCTTTCACAAACTGGTTCGGGAGTTGAATATGTTTGCTCGCTTCTTTCGTGATCCAGGGCAGGGTTCGTAGATTGCAGTTGGTGCGGTCTGCTTCCAGCTGCACCCATAGCTTGTCTCTCGCCTTCGTGGACCAGCTGATAATTGGTGAAGTGGGCCGCTAGGAGGTATTTTCTGAAGTCCGGCAGGGCTAGTCCACCTCTAAGTTTTGGGAGCGTCAGTTGGGAGTGAGCTATGCGGGGGGGAGTTTACCCCGCCAAATGAATTTACAGACTTTTGCCTGTATGGCTGTGAAGGTCTTTGGGGCCACGACTGTACCGTTTGTAAGATGAAGAGGAGTTTAGGGAGTAAGCACTGCATTCACTCTGCCCAAACAGGAAATGTAATAAGAGTTCAAAGTGTGTAGTTTTTCTACTGTTACATTGGGGATGGGTGTAATTGTGAGCGTATATATCATTCGGGTCTGGTTTGGGCCATATCTGGGTGTCACACCAACGAAAGGGGAAGTGTTGTTGGATCAACCGTCGCTTGGTCCTCCTGGCCTCCGTGATCAGGTTCAAAGCTCGGATGGTGTTATCTCGTATAGGGATGCACCAAAATTTTCGTCTGAAAATAGGCCCATCCTGTTTCTGCCGAAAACTGGTCAAATTTGCCAAAATTAAATAAATTTAGGACAGGGGTAGAACACTATGGGACAGGGGAGCGGGGGAGAACACTATGGGACAGGGGAGCGGGGGAGGGTGGAAAGAACACTAAAAAAGAGGGAGAGGAACATTAAGTGGGGGGACCACTAAAAGAGAAGCAAAGTTTTTCATATTAGATTAATTAAATCTAATATTAATAAAATATAGGAAAAAAACTTTTTAAAAATAATTTGTGGGGGGGAAATAATTTTCTGTTTCAGTTTTCGGCCAAGGGCATCCTTAATTTTTGGTTTCGTTTCGGCCTAGAATTTTCATTTTTTGGTGCATCCCTAATCTCGGACCTCTCTGCACGGGATGAAACCAGTTTGGTCCGGGTTTACCAAACCTGGTAGCAGTGGGGCCAATCGGTTAGCCAGGACGCTGGCCAGCAGCTTGTGTCGAGAACAGAGACCAGGCCTTACCTCTAGCATAGCGCAGGGTCTTTGCCCTCTCTTTGGAGCAGGGTTATATTATTGGCAGTAAATTGTGTAGAGGGTATCTCTCCTTCTGAGATGGAGTTCACGGCTGTCAGTAATTTCAGGAGGAGGTCTGGTGAGAAGGTCTTGTAGTATAGAAGGGGTAGGCCATCGGGTCCTGGCGATTTGCCAGTCTGTCCTTTTTTTTTTGACCGTAAACGACAATCCATCTGTTGTGATGGGGGCCTCTAGTGTTTCGTGTTTGTGGTCCTCGATTCGTGGTAGTCTGGAAGTTGCAAGATACGCTTGTATTTTGTCTCGCCTGCGGAGTGTTTCCTCCTCTGGTTGTCCTTGGCATATGTGGTATAGTTCCTTGTAGCAGAGGAGGAATTTGGCAGAGATTTGTTCCGGGAGGTGGTGGACTTGCTGGGTGTGGTCCCTAATTTTGGGGATGTATAGTTGGGTTCTGTGACTCTTCAGGAGGTTAGTGATGGTTCTGCAGCATTTGTTCCCATGTTCATATAGCCGATATTGTAATGGCGATATGAGCGTTGTATGGATCTATTTAGGTGGGTGGTAAGTTGGGTGCGTTTTATGAGGAGATCGCGGTACATGGGGGCTTCCTGTCTTAGTTTGTGTTGGCTTTCTAGTACAGCGATTTTCTTTGCTCAGGTCCACAATTGTTTGCGTGTTTTTCTTTCTTGCGCTTTGAGCATATCGCAATGAAATGGCTCAGAATCACCGCCTTGTGGGCCCCCCAGCAGGTCAGGGGTGTCGTGTCTCCTGTCTTGTTTGTGGCGAGGTAGTCTTGGATAGTCTGCCTGGCATTGTCGACGAGGGCTGGGTTGGCTAGGATATTTAAAAGAAGAAAAACTACCACAACAAGAGGACATAGTCTTAAATTAGAGGGACAAAGGTTTAAAAATAATATCAGGAAGTATTACTTTACTGAGAGGGTAGTGGATGCATGGAATAGCCTTCCAGCTGAAGTGGTAGAGGTTAACACAGTAAAGGAGTTTAAGCATGCGTGGGATAGGCATAAGGCTATCCTAAATATAAGATAAGGCCAGGGACTAATGAAAGTATTTAGAAAATTGGGCAGACTAGATGGGCTGAATGGTTCTTATCTGCCGTCACATTCTATGTTTCTGTGTTTCTATGATGGATTCCTTTAGGTGCCATAAAAGTCTGGCAGGGTCGGAACAAGGGCGACTTAAGTGCGTCTCTGCATACAAGAGATGCACCTAAAAAATATGTGGTGCTGAACTTTATGGTCGCAAGTCTCTTTTCAGCTATGAAACATTTTAAGCCCTGCTAATTTATATATTTAACAGGTGTTAATTCGGTCCAAAAGTTGCAGTTTGGCAGGTAGCAGTTCAACAACATTGCTGTTTAGTGAATAAGCCCCTATTTGAAGGTTAAACAGATACACAGCTGATTGCTATCAACCAACTGTTGGATAATACAATGAAATACAAGCTGTAAAAACAAAACTCGCCGCAGCAAGGCACTGTCAATATTTACTCGAATGGGGGAGAAAATTCCAGATATAGAAACCCAATAGTGTCCTTGATCCCATTTCAAACCGCGTATAATTTAACGTGTCCGTGCCACTCATGTTCCAGGATTCTGTTAGCGATGAATATGTAAATGTTCCACTGACCATTCGTATCGCGGCCGGCGTCTTCGCACGATTTGGAGTCTGTTAAATTCTTTGCTGTGTATAGAGAAAACCGTACTATATTAAATAATGTTTGTATATAACAAAGCGCGTGTAATCCCTTTAAATCCAGTTGTACAATAGTATCCTAATGGCTCTGCCGTATTGTCTGGCTTGATGAGCTTAATAAACTTCTAAAGATCTCTGAACACTTTGGCACGTCAATGGAGCATATTCACTAACACTGGTCTGAGGCCAAAATTGCAGATTTGAAATACCGGAATTGGAGGCCAATTCAGTTATCTGCTTACAAATAGCCCTTTAGTGAGCTCACCCAGGGAATCGTTTTATTTAGTGTATTCCAATACATATTCCAGCAAAGTCCTGCAGAATGAATAGGGTTTTTTTGACTGATTTTTATTTAGTTACTTGGTAGTAGCAAGCTGTAATTAGCACAGACAGACAGTGTGCTGCAGGCGAGGAGGATATTACGGTTTATAGATATTTTTAATGTAAATAAAATCAATTCTCTAGGCTCTGTGTTTAATATTGGGGAATGCCTAGTGTGATATGTACACCTGTCTCAATCGACATTTTGCAGCGTAAGGCCCTAATTGGCAGTATCTTGCTCAAACCAAATTTAGAAATAGTTTTTAATGCCTTTTTGTTTCTTCTGTTTCTTTGTGTTTTTGAAGTGCCAATGTAATCTGCTCTGGAAGTCCAGGGTTAAACCGCTGCTATCAATATGGGCCCGGCCATAGAGCGGCTTATTGATGGGTTTGGTGGGACGGAATAAGAAGATATTGGACCATTTACCAGTGCATGAGCGTGTTTTGTTTTCAGGCAATTTGAATATTGTTACACTCAATACATGAACTTTGCTATATGCATTGTCTCTCAGTAGTTCTATTCTTACTCTTTAAGGGCAGATGAAAAATCTTTTCAACAACCATCTAAAATTAGTAATGCGTTAAAAGGGACACCCCAAGGACCGTGATTTTATTTGTTTTATTCTTGTGATGCAGAGTCTTTAATACTGCCCCTCTCTTTTTGTATTGTCAATTTGTCAAGAATCCCAACTCTCTGACCACCTAACGTTCAATTCATTTACTGCTGCTCCGATAATGCAGTGTTTATTACATAGAACTTGTTCTGTTTTTTTTTTCAGGGTTACTGCTCCTTACGTCAGTTGGTAAAACTGTCCAAGCTGGAGGTGCCCCAGGAAATTAAAGATGTGATCGAGCCAATAAAAGATAACGATGCAGCAATTAGGAATTACGGGATTGACTTGGCTGTTTCTATGTGTCGGGAGCTGCTGGATAGCGGGCTGGTAAACGGCTTGCATTTCTATACTCTGAACCAGGAGGTGGCAACAATCTCTGTATTAAAACGTCTTGGAATTTGGATTGAGGACCCAAGGTGGGTGACGGTTTGCTTTTCTCCAGAATGGAGGTGTGTGAATAAAAATGCAAAAAATGAAAACAAGAGACTTTTTACCTTGCCTGGATGTTTTATATAACGCCCTACTGCTTCAGACACAGTTAAAAAAAAATTTTTTTAAATGGAATGTCATTTAGGGTTTTCCCATTCTGTCTGCTTCTCACCATGCAAAACCTCACCATTCTTGTTTGTCTCGACAATTTTTACTTTAACCTTTCCCCTAACCCAAGCTACAGGAGTTCAGAACTTGTGTGTGTTTTTTTTTTTTTTTATTTTTTTTTTATTAAAAATGTATAATGTTTAAAAAGAAACCAAACCCTCACTTCCAGAGAGAGAGAATGTACTTGTGCATTCACTCCAATAAACTCTATTTCAGTGTTTACTGGGTAACTAATGCATCAGGTGAAAGTATAAAAAAATTTAAACTGCTTACCACTATTCCACTTCCATGTCGGGGAAATGTTGCTGTCCCGTGATGCCATCGGCGTTAGTGTGCGCGCTCTTTATGCCAACTTTTTTTACTCCCTGTAATGCCATGTCTGAGTTTTTCCATATCTGATACTAGGATACTCTACATAGCAACTTCCTAGGACAAACGGTCAGCCATGTTGAATGTTGGTATACTTTAACGCAATATGTTTCTTTCTTTTCTGAGGCCAAATAAAGTATGTTCTATCCCAATTTCAGCTTATTCCTACTTCAGCTCGTGTAATTTTGTTCTGTCCTCCTTCAATTCTTCATCAGACGTCCCTTGCCGTGGGCAGTTAGTGCTCATCCGAAACGACGAGTAGAAGATGTCCGTCCGATATTTTGGGCATCCCGACCAAAGAGCTACATTTACCGAACTCAAGAGTGGGATGAATTTCCAAATGGTCGCTGGTACGTATCCTGACCAAAGACAACTCGTGGACATGTGGTTTTTCATGTGATAGAAATGGCATGTAATGCCTAAATCATTTGTTTATTTCATTTCTTTTATAAAGGGGAAACTCCTCTTCTCCTGCCTTTGGCGAACTGAAAGATTACTACCTTTTCTATTTGAAAAGCAAATGCTCTCGTGAAGTGTTGCTGAAAATGTGGGGAGAGGAGCTGAGCAATGAGGAAAGTGTATACGAAGTCTTCACCAGTTACATATCTGGAGATGTTAACCGCAAAGGACACAAAGTAAGTGAAGATACTGTAAAGACATAGATTTTATAGCTGGTTCACTCACATCTCCATGGATTGTATAGCGGGTTCACTCACATCTCCATGGATTGTATAGTGGGTTCACTCACATCTCCATGGATTGTATAGCGGGTTCACTCACATCTCCATGGATTGTATAGCGGGTTCACTCACATCTCCATGGATTGTATAGCTGGTTCACTCACATCTCCATGGATTGTATAGCGGGTTCACTCACATCTCCATGGATAGTATAGCGGGTTCACTCACATCTCCATGGATTGTATAGCGGGTTCACTCACATCTCCATGGATTGTATAGCGGGTTCGCTCACATCTCCATGGATTGTATAGCGGGTTCGCTCACATCTCCATGGATTGTATAGCGGGTTCGCTCACATCTCCATGGATTGTATAGCGGGTTCGTTCACATCTCCATGGATTGTATGGCGGGTTCACTCACATCTCGATGAATTGTATAGCGGGTTCACTCACATCTCCATGGATAGTATAGCTGGTTCACTCACATCTCCATGGATTGTATAGCGGGTTCCCTCACATCTCCATGGATTGTATAGCGGGTTCCCTCACATCTCCATGGATTGTATAGCGGGTTCGCTCACATCTCCATGGATTGTATAGCGGGTTCGCTCACATCTCCATGGATTGTATAGCGGGTTCACTCACATCTCCATGGATTGTATAGCGGGTTCACTCACATCTCCATGGATTGTATAGCGGGTTCGCTCACATCTCCATGGATTGTATAGCGGGTTCGCTCACATCTCCATGGATTGTATAGCGGGTTCGCTCACATCTCCATGGATTGTATAGCGGGTTCGCTCACATCTCCATGGATTGTATAGCGGGTTCGCTCACATCTCCATGGATTGTATAGCGGGTTCGCTCACATCTCCATGGATTGTATAGCGGGTTCGCTCGCATCTAGTTCAAACTAATTGGTAGTGGATATGTAGAAGTTGAGGCGTAACTTTTAATAAAATGTAATTGAAAAAAACGTATGACCCAAAATTCTAGCAATCCAGAGGGAAAGAATTGTAAAAATAACAATAAACAAATAATAAATAAAATAAAGTGTATATAAAAAGAGATATAGATATATACACGCCCAGATTAGTAAATCACTGCTACAGATTCAGAGCCTGTGAATGCTCCCTGTGTAATTTAGAGCTATTGAGGTATCAGTCAGACCAATATAACAAACGTCAGTCTTGGCTGGTGGTAAATAGCGGAACCAGCAGCGGTTACAGTCTCTGTCCTTTGCCAGCTAAGACTGAGTTCTTTGTTATTGCTTTGACCGATACCTCAAGGCGAGTGGCAGTGTTTCTGCTCAAGTTTTCTTCAATTTATTTTTGCTGGTCGAGGGACAAAGTCTTCTTTTCTATATACTTGAGACATCTTACTGCCAGACAGTGTTCTAATAGAATAGCTTTGGTTCCCTCAGATGTATGTGTTACCTTATAGATAGCCAGTCAGTATTATTCCTGCACTCCAGGTGTGTTACCTTATAGATAGCCAGTCCGTATTATTCCTGCACTCCAGGTGTGTTGCCTTATAGATAGCCAGTCAGTATTATTCCTGCACTCCAGGTGGATGTGTTACCTTATAGATAGCTAGTCAGTATTATTCCTGCACTCCAGGTGGATGTGTTACCTTATAGATAGCTAGTCCGTATTATTCCTGTACTCCAGGTGGATGTGTTACCTTATAGATAGCCAGTCAGTATTATTCCTGCACTCCAGGTGGATGTGTTACCTTATAGATAGCTAGTCAGTATTATTCCTGCACTCCAGGTGGATGTGTTACCTTATAGATAGCCAGTCCGTATTATTCCTGCACTCCAGGTGGATGTGTTACCTTATAGATAGCCAGTCAGTATTATTCCTGCACTCCAGGTGTGTTACCTTATAGATAGCTAGTCAGTATTATTCCTGCACTCCAGGTGTATGTTACCTTATAGATAGCCAGTCAGTATTATTCCTGTACTCCAGGTGTGTTACCTTATAGATAGCCAGTCCGTATTATTCCTGCACTCCAGGTGGATGTGTTGCCTTATAGATAGCCAGTCCGTATTATTCCTGTACTCCAGGTGTGTTACCTTATAGATAGCTAGTCAGTATTATTCCTGCACTCCAGGTGGATGTGTTACCTTATAGATAGCTAGTCAGTATTATTCCTGCACTCCAGGTGTGTTACCTTATAGATAGCCAGTCAGTATTATTCCTGCACTCCAGGTGTGTTACCTTATAGATAGCTAAGTCAGTATTATTCCTGTACTCCGGGTGTGTTACCTTATAGATAGCCAGTCAGTATTATTCCTGCACTCCGGGTGTGTTACCTTATAGATAGCTAGTCAGTATTATTCCTGCACTCCAGGTGGATGTGTTACCTTATAGATAGCCAGTCAGTATTATTCCTGCACTCCAGGTGGATGTGTTACCTTATAGATAACTAGTCAGTATTATTCCTGCACTCCAGGTGGATGTGTTACCTTATAGATAGCCAGTCCGTATTATTCCTGCACTCCAGGTGGATGTGTTACCTTATAGATAGCCAGTCAGTATTATTCCTGCACTCCAGGTGTGTTACCTTATAGATAGCTAGTCAGTATTATTCCTGCACTCCAGGTGGATGTTACCTTATAGATAGCCAGTCAGTATTATTCCTGCACTCCAGGTGTGTTACCTTATAGATAGCCAGTCAGTATTATTCCTGCACTCCAGGTGGGTGTGTTACCTTATAGATAGCCAGTCAGTATTATTCCTGCACTCCAGGTGGATGTGTTACCTTATAGATAGCCAGTCCGTATTATTCCTGTACTCCAGGTGTGTTACCTTATAGATAGCTAGTCAGTATTATTCCTGCACTCCAGGTGGATGTGTTACCTTATAGATAGCTAGTCAGTATTATTCCTGCACTCCAGGTGGATGTGTTACCTTATAGATAGCCAGTCCGTATTATTCCTGCACTCCAGGTGTGTTACCTTATAGATAGCTAGTCAGTATTATTCCTGTACTCCAGGTGTATGTGTTACCTTATAGATAGCCAGTCAGTATTATTCCTGCACTCCAGGTGGATGTGTTACCTTATAGATAGCCAGTCAGTATTATTCCTGCACTCCAGGTGGATGTGTTACCTTATAGATAGCCAGTCAGTATTATTCCTGCACTCCAGGTGTGTGTACCTTATAGATAGCTAGTCAGTATTATTCCTGCACTCCAGGTGTGTTACCTTATAGATAGCCAGTCAGTATTATTCCTGCACTCCAGGTGGATGTGTTACCTTATAGATAGCTAGTCAGTATTATTCCTGCACTCCAGGTGTATGTTACCTTATAGATAGCCAGTCCGTATTATTCCTGCACTCCAGGTGGACCTGTGCCAGTCCGTATTCCTGCTCAAGGTGGATGTGTTACCTTATAGATAACTAGTCAGTATTATTCCTGCACTCCAGGTGGATGTGTTACCTTATAGATAGCCAGTCCGTATTATTCCTGCACTCCAGGTGGATGTGTTACCTTATAGATAGCCAGTCAGTATTATTCCTGCACTCCAGGTGTGTTACCTTATAGATAGCTAGTCAGTATTATTCCTGCACTCCAGGTGGATGTTACCTTATAGATAGCCAGTCAGTATTATTCCTGCACTCCAGGTGTGTTACCTTATAGATAGCCAGTCAGTATTATTCCTGCACTCCAGGTGGGTGTGTTACCTTATAGATAGCCAGTCAGTATTATTCCTGCACTCCAGGTGGATGTGTTACCTTATAGATAGCCAGTCCGTATTATTCCTGTACTCCAGGTGTGTTACCTTATAGATAGCTAGTCAGTATTATTCCTGCACTCCAGGTGGATGTGTTACCTTATAGATAGCTAGTCAGTATTATTCCTGCACTCCAGGTGGATGTGTTACCTTATAGATAGCCAGTCCGTATTATTCCTGCACTCCAGGTGTGTTACCTTATAGATAGCTAGTCAGTATTATTCCTGTACTCCAGGTGTATGTGTTACCTTATAGATAGCCAGTCAGTATTATTCCTGCACTCCAGGTGGATGTGTTACCTTATAGATAGCCAGTCAGTATTATTCCTGCACTCCAGGTGGATGTGTTACCTTATAGATAGCCAGTCAGTATTATTCCTGTACTCCAGGTGTATGTGTTACCTTATAGATAGCTAGTCAGTATTATTCCTGCACTCCAGGTGTGTTACCTTATAGATAGCCAGTCAGTATTATTCCTGCACTCCAGGTGGATGTGTTACCTTATAGATAGCTAGTCAGTATTATTCCTGCACTCCAGGTGTATGTTACCTTATAGATAGCCAGTCCGTATTATTCCTGCACTCCAGGTGTATGTGTTACCTTATAGATAGCCAGTCCGTATTATTACTGCACTCCAGGTGTATGTTACCTTATAGCTAGTCCGCAGGGCCGGAATGGGGATTCCAAAGCAGCCCTGGAAAAAAAAAATCTATGCCAGCCCCATAAGTCATTGCCACATATATTGTCGCATGTAATATGTAAGGCTATGTTTTGCAACCCTAGATGATTATATATATATATATCTCAAATATAAAAAAACAAACTGATCTTGCACTCCACCAATTCAATATTCAATGCCCGGTGCTTGTCAGCCAAAAAGGCAAAAATATTGCCAGAGATAGCACTCCAAGGACTAATATAAAATATAACTTTTATTACCTCCACTAAAACAACACAAGGTCAATGTTTAAGGTTGAGGGGATCAAGCTTAAACGTTGACCTTGTGTAGTTTTAGTGGAGGTAATAAAAGTTTTATATTTTATATTAGTCCTTGGAGTGCTATCTCTGGATATATATATATATATATATATATATATTGGTCCTTTCAGAGTAAATGTTTAATTATACAGTAAGCATACTCACATGCAGACACAGACAATCTCCCTGACACAAGCGGATTGATACACAGCCTCATACATAAGGTTATTGACATAAAAACACAAGCTCACTCAGTAGCAGGCACACACACACAAGGAAGCGCGCGCACACACACAGCTTAATGTAGTGGTACTGGTGTCTATAGCCTGTCCCTGCAGGCTTTTTAATGTTAACACTGACTTTTAAGAGAAAAGGCAGTGTTTACATTGCTTCCTAGTGACAGACACTCAGACGGTCACTAGAGGTGCTTCCTGTGTCAGTGCGGATTGGCTGAGATCATCAAGCTTGATGATCTCATCCGTAGAGGCAGGGCCAGGCGAGGGGAGACCAGCATGACGTGGGGAAGAAGAAAAAAACACACATACACACACACACACACATGCCATGACAGACACACACCATGACACAGACAGACCGTGACACAGACAGAAACACACACACACACACACACACCTTAAAGACACACACACCTTGACACACACACACACCATAACACAGACAGACCGTGACACACAGACACACACACCATGACACAGACACACACATTGCATGACACAGACAAACACACACCATGACACACACAGACCGTGACACACACACATTACATGACAGACACACAGACACACACACCACGACAGAGAGACCGTGACACAGACACACACACCGTGACACAGACACACACACCGTGACACAGACACACACACACCGTGACACAGACACACACACACCGTGACACAGACAAACATACACACCATGATACACACAGACCGTGACACAGACACACACACACACACACACAACATGACAGACAGTGACACACACACCATGACTAAGAGACACAAACAATGACACACACACATTGCTGACACACAGACACTCACACATTGCTGACACACAGACACTCACACATTGCTGACACACAGACACTCACACATTGCTGACACACAGACACTCACACACCATGACACAGACACTCACACACACACCATGACACAGACACTCACACACACACCATGACACAGACACTCACACACACAGACACTCACACACACACCATGACACACAGACACTCACACACACACCATGACACACAGACAGACACACACACACCATGACACACAGACAGACACACACACACATATACACAATTTCTACCTGTGGGGAGCTCTTTATGACGTCATATTCCGGCCCCAGTCTCATTAAGCGGTGCGCAGGGGAGGGGGAGCAGAGACACAACAGCCAGCTCCCCCTGCGGCCGCAAGAACAGCCAGCAAACCCTGCGGCCGCCAAAGGAGCTCCATCTGCGGCCGCAGGTGAGCCAGCTGGCTGCCCAGCCCCAGGTGCCGACGGCCCACCGAGAAATTTCCCGGTATCCCGGTGGGCCAGTCCGGCCCTGCTAGTCCGTATTATTCCTGCACTCCGGGTGCTGTGTTACCTTATAGATAGCTAGTCAGTATTATTCCTGCACTCCGGGTGACCTTTGTAGGCTCAGTTTAGGATTTATCGATGGTTTTTGATGGCACGGTGCCCGTGCACTGCGACTGTGTTTCTTTATTCTCCATCTAACCTTCAAGGCCTTACTGATTATTGTTCAAATTGATGTTTGGTTTCCATGTTATTAATTTGATGCCGTGTTCCATATGTGAACCATTAATTGAGCATTCCATGTTCAGCTTCTAAATTAAACACTGAGCATCGCAGCCTGCTATTCTAGGCTCTGAATCTGCAGCAGCTATTTACTGATCTCTATTATCTTTTTATATACTTTATTTTATTTATTTTCTTTTGTTGATTTTCTTTCCCTCTCGATTGCTAGAGTTTTGGGCCATATGTTTTTTTTTTTTGGGGTTTTTTTTAATTTAATTTTATAAGTTATTTTTATTTTATTTTATTTTTTAGTCTTACATAGCCACTACTAATTAGTCTGACCTCCTCGTTCTCTCTTAGGTCTGTACTGACCTAGAGGTACCTCCTTTCACTGTCCAATCACATCACTATATATTCTATATTGAGCTCCCATTTTTGGATTTTGTTTTGTCCTGTATTATAACGGGTTCACTCACATCTTCGTGGGTTCTGTAGCGGGTTCACTCACATCTTTGTGGGTTCTGTAGCGGGTTCACTCACATCTTCGTGGGTTCTGTAGCGGGTTCACTCACATCTTCGTGGGTTCTGTAGTGGGTTCACTCACATCTTCGTGGGTTCTGTAGCGGGTTCACTCACATCTTCGTGGGTTCTGTAGCGGGTTCACTGACATCTTCGTGGGTTCTGTAGCGGGTTCACTGACATCTTCGTGGGTTCTGTAGTGGGTTCACTCACATCTTCGTGGGTTCTGTAGCGGGTTCACTCACATCTTTGTGGATTTTCTTGTGGGTTCACTCACATCTTTTGTGACTACTACAACTGGATCAGTCACATCCTCCTTATATGCAACTTGTACAATAAAGTATCCAAACTAGAGCCAGACCGGTCTTGGTTTTTCCAACTTTGTCTAAATGAATTGTGTTTATTATTGCTCCTTGCAGGTGACGTGTCTACCTTGGAACGACGAACCTCTTGCCTCAGAGACAAATCTCCTGAAGCAGGAGCTACAGAAAGTAAATAAAAGGGGAATTCTGACTATCAACTCCCAGCCCAATGTGAATGGAAAACCTTCCAATGACCCGACGTTTGGATGGGGTCCCAACAGAGGTTATGTCTTTCAAAAGGTACCTGACTGACTTTGCGTGAAGTCGGTTCATAGAAGGATTATCTCTTAAATTTAAATACTTCTATTGGCTTTGGACCATCTGCTTTCATACGATTTAAGAAAACTGTGTATGGCACGCTTACATTCAGTACCAGAACCACTACAGAGTCTACAACTGTAACTGGAGCACTAGACAGTTTCCACTAATTTTGCTGTTTTCTTATTGTTTAGATCGGGGTTAGCAACATTCAGCACTCCAGCTGTTGACTACATCTCCCGTAATCCTCTTACAGCCATAATACTGGTAGAGCATCAGGGGAGATGTAGTTCACAACATGTGGATAATTTATTCCAGCCTATATATAGTGTTCTAATGTCCTCTTTGATTACAGGCGTACCTGGAATTTTTCACCTCCAGCGAGATGGTCACAGCTCTTATTAAGGTGCTGAAGCGGTACGAGCCTCGTGTGAACTACCACATAGTGAATGTACAGGTACGACGTTTCATGATTAGTCCCTGGAATATATAACCGTAGCAAACTATAAAGCGGTTTAACGGACAGTTTTATGTTGCATCTATACAAACTGTTTTGATAGGTCTGTTGACTTAGAAACCTTTTCTAATAAAACACAGATTTTTCTCAGATATAAATGTTTTTGCATAACTGTTCAGGAGTTAAACCAGTTTTGAAAGGTTTAATCCAGAAATTGGTCCCCTGGCACGCGACACCTCTGCCTCCTCTCTTCCATTCTCCTGACTATCACAGTCAGCGGGAAGATGGCTGGGCGGACGATGATAATCTGCCCTTCACTGCCCTGTCTCTGGCTGATACCTGTTTAAATGTGGGTTTTTTTTGTTTTTTTTTTAATTCTATATTCCTTGTTTTAGGGTAAAAATATTACAAATTCTGTTGACCTGCAACCGAATGCTGTGACATGGGGAATCTTTCCCGGACGAGAGATTATTCAACCAACGGTGGTCGATCCTATCAGCTTTATGTCCTGGAAGGTAAGTGCAGTTTTGTCTTTATCCTTTTTTCACTTTGTTTTCCACGGCAGTCTCTCACATGTGAAAAGTAATCTGCAAGTACTTCCATCTTTTTTAGAATACTTCTAACACCAGTTAAATTGGATAGTAAGCACTGTCATTTTCAGTGTTACTGAAAGTTTACAATCCTATTCATTGGCCTTTGCAAACTTGCGAGTGAGAAAGGTATCTTGGGAAAAAAAAAAATTGTCAGTTGATATAAACTTACAATGATAGCCCTGATGACTGAACAAACTGAAATTTAAGTAATTTAGAATTTTTTTATTTTTTTTTCAATTTGTTTTTTGCTAGTTCCAAAAATTACGAAATATCAAAATGATTGATAATGCTAGTTCTTAAAATTGGGTAATTGTTGGACTATTCCTTTATTTTGATTTAATTCACACAATTTATTTTTTTCCTTGTTTTTTGAGGAAAAGGGGAATACTGTTTTGTATTTACTGTAAAAAAAAAAAAAAAATTTAATTTATTTTTTCCATACAGGATGAAGCCTTTGCCCTGTGGATAGAGCGGTGGGCGAAGCTGTACGAGGAGGAGACTCCATCTCGAATGATCATTCAGTACATCCATGACAACTATTTCTTGGTCAATCTAGTGGACAACGATTTCCCCCTTGAGAACTGTCTGTGGCAGATCATTGAAGACACGTTTAGCGAACATGATAACCCAACGGAACCATGACTCCTATTACTGTGACTGTGTCATGTGGCTCTAAAAGCAATTCATAGAGAACTCACTACTTTTGGAAGAGGCATCAGCTCCTACTGGCATGAATAAACGTATTTCATGGGACGATCCCTCAAGTGTACATTCTGTACATAATTCAACATGTAGTTACTGTTGCAAGACTTGATATTGCTGCTAGAAAACTAACTTTACCATAGGAATTGAGCAAGGGTGACTACATATTTTTAGAAAGAGATCCAAGTCATATTTTTCTAATTGTGTTTTTGTCGTTGCCGTATCCTTGACACCTCCCCATCCACCCACCCCCGAAAACTGATTTCTTTTGTGTTCTTAGATTCGGCCTCATTGATATGTTTAACAAATATAAGCTTTTGGTGACTTACCTGCTCTCCTGATATCTTCATTTGCACCTAATCAAAACTGGTAAATAGAGTTTGCCACAGAGAAGCACTGAGAACTCATTCCAGTGACCGTGTGATGTTCCCTGCCCCAGGGGTAGCAGAGGCTTACAACAACTATAATGGTTACTATTGGTTGAATACCTATTTCTTCCAAAATGTGTGCTTATAAATCATATTTTTATTTTTTATTTTTTTTGACATTCTTTATTTATTCTTTTGATAGTCATTAAGTGCATTACAACTGTGAACATATTTGGGTGAACATTCATTAAACATGAAAACATTGAATTATTGGCTATTGATTGTAACCGGCATTACCGGTGCTATGTCGGTAGTGTATAGGTCTTTGTCAGCTAAGGCTCAGGAGCTGCTGCTGAAGACTTTTGGTTTAGCTTTGACTTTGGTAGTGTCTGTTGCAGGCATGAGGTGGGTAGAGCTAGTGTGTGGTATGTGGTGTCCCATGTGTTACTCCCTTGTGGGCTTGCTTTGTTATGTGGATTATGTCATTATCCCCTTAGAATAGCTTTCTAGTGTTTTTGTTTTAAGTGGTTATGTGTGTGGGTTTCGAGGAATCTGCAGAGTGTCCTCTGTCCATCTAGGTCTCTGGCTAGGTCGCAGTGGGTTATTCGGCTAGTGTCACTTGTGTGTTGTGTTGTGTCGGTCATTATCGAAGAGGTGTGCTGTGCGCAGCTCTGGGTGTTGAGGTGACCTCGTCCCAGTCCCGTGCGGCTTGTTGTGTCCTGTCCTGCATCTAGATGCGTGTTCCACGGTGTGTTATTTTTTTTTAATCTGTGTTTGTTCTATGCCTATTTGTGAATCTTGTAGTAGGTTTAAAAATTCTTGCGCCAAGAAGATGTAGTCTATGCGGTTATAGTGTGCGTGGACTGCCGAGTAGTTGGTGTAGTCTTACTCTTCTGGGTTGCATGCCCTCCAACAGTCAACTACTCCTAGTTTGTGTAAGGATCGCTGTGCTACTCGAATGCAGTGCGCAGAAACTGCAGTCTGACCCCTGGAGGTGTCCAAGCGCGGGTCCAGTGGTATGTTTAGGTCTCCGGCCAGGACCAGAAGGCCGTCTCTAAATTTCTCTAACTTGGCCAGCGTCCGGGATAAAAAGGTGTTGTTTTCTGTTTGGGCCATATAGGCATGCGAAAGTGTAGGTGTGGTGCGCTATGGTGCCTTTTAGGAAGAGATATCTACCGTTGGGGTCCTCCTGAAATGCTGTGTGGTGGAAAGGTGTTGCTTGGGCAAAGAGTATTGCCGCTTTTTTGGCTTCTGGGTGATTCGCGTAGAATCCTTGTGGGAATCGTCGGTTCTCTAATTTGGGTGCGTCTCCACCTCTGAGGTGCGTCTCCTGCAGGAATGCCACGTATGCTTTTGCGGCCCACAGCCGCCTTAGCAGGTGCGATCGCTTTTCAGGTGTGTTGAGTCCCTGAACATTGTTGGACCAATATGTCAGCTGGGCTGGGACAAATCCCCGCTTGGGCGCCGTCGAGGCGGCGCCCCCGCAGCGGCACGGTTTGGGTTGTGGGGGCGTCAGTAGGTGTAGGGAAGTCAGAGAGTTGTGTTGTGGTGAAGGGTCTGCCTGACTCTTAGGATGTGACGTCGACCCTGTACCGGGTATTGTTCCTGCGTCGGGGTTACAATTCCGACGCAAGGAACCCTGGTTTTATTTACAGTTTGGGTCTGTCTCAGTGGGGTTCTGTGGAGCCACTCACGGTAGTGGTGTTGTCTAGTTATGTGGTGATCTGTACTTTCTCCTTTCCGTCAGCACCCGCCCTGCATGGTGTGAGTGTAGTTGTCCAGACGGTGTATTTTAAGTTTGGGGGGGCACCAATTGCCTATGCCGCCTTGGTTCTAGTCAGTATTTTGTGTCCTGGAAAGAGAAAAATCAGCGCTAGGCTGCCACACAAGGAAATAATAATAGTAGAAATTTTGTGTCCTGTTTGTTAGTGCGTTGCCCTAGGAACGTTTGTGTGGTCCTGTCTGGTTCCTTCTATCTTTAGTATCTCCTGCAGCTCTCCCGTCCCCGGTCATACCTCCTAGTGTCTGAGTCAGGGCCTCCCTGGGTTAACCAGAGATTTGGAGCAGCCTATCTCCTAGTGTGTGTCATTCGGGTGTCCTGTTGCGACCCTTCCCCTTAAAGCATGCTGTGTGTTTTAGTGGGGATTGGGTCGACGCCTCTTGAATTCGCTAGTCCGTGGCATGTTTCCGTCTCCTGGGTATACTCTATCTCTGTTGTGCAGTGTCCTGTGTTGCTTTCCAGACGAAGCGGTGTGTGTCTGCCCGTGAGGTTACGTCAGGGTGGTGGCTCTTGTCATCTCTTTGTTAGCCCCCAGGCCTGGTTTCTCGCTGTAGTGTACCTGCTCCTCCCTTGTGTTTGTTCTTCCTGTCTTAGGTGTCTGTTATTAGGCTGCCCTTTGCCCTGACTGTGGCCCTTGTCGTGTATTGTGTCTGTCTGTTCAAGTTAGCTCCCCTGGTGCTCTGGCAGTTCACGCTTCTTCCTCCCTGTCTATACCTGGCTCCACCCCTTCGCTCCTACTCTGTGCACTCCGGTTCTATATGTGTGCTTCATTTTAAGCCTATGGTTTCAGGAGTCTTGCATTGCTATTGCCTTGCTAGGAAGTGCGGTCTGTGCGTGGGTGCTTCCTGGTCTAGGGGGCCCTCATGTGAATTAACCTTTGAAAATTAAACTGTACAATAAACTGCCCACTAGACAGGTCCTTCCCGGTTTTAGCTACCGATCTACCCCGATGCTAGTTCTTAAAATTGGGTAATTGTTGGACTATTCCTTTATTTTGATTTACCCGTTTCACAGTGATCCTCCACTGCCCTGCGACCAACCCTCCATCTCCTGGTATTTTTTAAGTCTTGGTGGCTCACTGCTGCATGGTTGTCCTCTGCCTGTGCAGGCCCTTGTAGTTGCGCATTCCCGCCCTCCTTCTGGTTGGCTTCTCCCACCCAACTTGAGGGGTTCCTCCTGTGCATATCCATTGGCAGTTCGGCCTTCCAGATGGGGCACTTCCTCTTACCACCCCCCGTTCAGGTTATCCGCTCCCTCCCCACCTACCTGGTATCCACCCTTAACACCCCGCTATTGCTATCAGGTTGTAGTCAAGGAAAGTACATACCCAGTTCGGTGTCGTCGGGCCGGTGTGTCCGGATCATAGTGTGTTCTTTGCCGGTAGAGCTGGGATTCCGTTGAGTGCTGCGCCGGATTGGCCTGGTGTATCTTATTGGGTCGTGTACCGGTGCTGCGTGTCTGTGGTTACTCTTCTGGGCCTCCTCGGCGTTGTTGTGGTCTGGGTTCCGGTTGTAGGTTGTGTGCCACCTCTGTTGGGCCTGTTGCTCGCGCCGGAGAGCCCTCTAGGATCCAGTTCGGCACCGGGATAGTAGGTAGGTTGGCGGATCGGAGAAATCTGGGTACATCGCTTGGCCAGCGGATGATATGCCACATGTTGCCCACACGGGCCTGGAGGCTAAATGGAAAGCCCCACTTGTATGGGATGCTCCGCTCTTGCAACAGGCAGGTAAGAGGCCTTAGGGCCCGGCGGGCGTCCAGGGTGATCGTGGATAGATCTTGAAAGAGGGAGACTTGTGCGTCCATGTAGGTTATGTGCTGTTGGGTTCTAGTTGCCAGCATTAAAGACTCTTTTAGTTGGAACGACACCAGGGCACATATTCTATCTCTTCGTAGACCATCTCGTCTGGGTGCTCGTAGTGCCCTGTGAGCCCTTTCTATGCCAAAGTCGCTAGGAGCTGCGTCTCCCAGCAGTTCAGTAAACAGACCTGCGAGGATCTCCTGCGGCACCTCCCCCTTGGCCTCCGGTAGTCCCTGTATTCTGATGTTATTGCGCCGGCCACGATTGTCAAGATCTTCAATCTGGTGGCGGAGGTCCAGGAGTATATTACCTTGCCTCGTGGTCGCCAGGTCCGTGGCTTGCTGGTGTTGCGTGTCTTGCAGGCGTTCCGCCTCCAGGTCATCCACCCGCTGCTCCAGGGCTGTGAGGTCGTTGCGCACCGCCGTGATCTCCTCCCGGATAATGTTCTACCACAATTTCATTCTTGTCTCTGCGGGTCAACATGCTTGCGGATATCGCGGTGATATCTGCGGATATTTGGGTGAGGGTACCGGTTGTAGCTATGCCTCGGGTCGATTCCGCGATGCGGGAGCCGACGCGCCAGTGTCTCCGGAGTCACGGGGACATGCGGCACGGATAGGAACTCATCCATCGGGCCGGGCTGTGATCTCGACGGGGTCGCACTGGTCTGTCCCGTGCTGGTTAGGCATTTGTTCTTCCCCATTTCTTGGCATTTTTGTAGGTCTTGGACGCTTTAACAGGGCTTCACAGGTTGGGGTTTAGGAGCTCGGGTTGAGTGCCACGCCCCTATAAATCATTTTTAATTTTTTCTAAGTGAACTTTGTTATTGTTGGGAGGATGAACAGGTGGGAATAATAATGGAATGACCTCACGGAAAAATTATTTTATCTTTAAAGTAACTTGTGAAAAAATTGGTTTTGGCCACTTTGCCCGAATTAAAATTATTTTAATCCACACCTGAACAACTCGATTTTTTGCACAATTCTAGTCATTATATCACAATGACTAATGCCTTTTTGTAGAGATGAGACGAATCAGGTTTATAAATCGCTTACATTGTACTTTGATATGCAAAAATTGCAAAGCCGCAAGATTAAAGGAACACTATAGGTTTAGGAATACATACCGGAGTGTTTTCCTGAGCCTATAGTGTTAAAAACACACGTAGGGTCCCTGGCCTCCCTTGTCCCAGTTAAAGAAGTACAATACTCAATTTTTTTTCCAGCACCACACGGTATCATCTGGTGTTGGCCACATCCTTGATCCACCTACTTGGCTGACATCAGAATTGATTGAGAATTGATAATCTAAGCCAATCACAATGCTTTCTCATAGGAAAGTGTTGGGTTGGCCGAGATTCTCAATTCTGATGATCTCAGCCAACGGGGGTGGGTGCGAGGGGAAAAACGCTGCCCTAGCCAATCAGCATCTCCTCAGAGCGTTCAGCGTTTCCATGCAGAACATAGGCACTGACCCAGGAAGCTGTCAGAGGAATGACCACTGAAGGCGTTCCCAGGCTGTAATGCAAGCACTGCCGCAGGGGCTTCCTAGGAATGGCAGATGGATAACTGTAGAATCTGGTAGACTTGGAGTTGTGGATAAAGACCTATTCCACAGTCTGTGTCTCTACATAATTCATTTTCAGCACTTTAAGAGTGTAGTGGTGTTATGTAGAAAGGTTCAGTTTGTGGAACCACCATCCTCTATGCCTAGGATGTGCAAGACTGCAGCCAATGACAAAAGGGACAAGGTGAGGCCTGATAGAAAGCAGTTGTTGTTGGGGGGAATCTATCATAAGAGGTGTGGAGTTGTATAATAGTGGCTTTGGAAGATGTGCTCACGGAGATAGAAGATATATCTGTAATATTGTTAAGCAAGCAAAGCAGGAAGGGGAATTGGATGTACTTGTCCATCTAGGGACAAATGACTTGCTTTGCAATGAGGTTTCAGAGGTTAAGGAAGTTTTTAGTGTTTTTACCAATGATATACGGCAGGTTGCTTCCACACTGTCATTCTCTGAAGTTCTTCCTGTGCATAACACTCAGAACGACAGGTGGATGCGTATTAGGGACTTTAACTTGTGGCTTGGTGAATGGTGTCGGGAGCAAGGATTTGGCTTTATTTCTCATGGTAGCTCTGTTTGGAATGGAGATAAGCTGTACAAAAAAGATGGTTTGCATCTTTCTCAAAAAGGAACAAATGTTCTCAGTGAGCAGTTCAGAGGTTTTGCTAGGATGTATTTAAACTAGGAGGGGGGGCAAAAGGGTGATAAAACATCAATCCAATTGTCCCCCAAAACAAGGACAGAAGGTGCCTGTAGCAAGTGTGTTAAAAAATAAGCTTAGAGTCATGTCTACAAATGCTATCAGTTTAGGGAATAAGATCCATGAACTTGTGGCAATAATGGCAACTGATAGTGTAGATTTAGTCGCTGTTACTGAGACATGGTGTAATGAGAAAAATGTCTGGGACATAGCAATACCAGGGTACTCTTTATATAGAAAAGATAGGGAAGGCAAGAAAGGGGGGAGGGTGGCCCTGTATGTGAAGGATAGCATAAAATCTAACCTAATAAAAGTTAGTGAGGCGAACATAGTCTGTTTGTCTCTTACATTAGAATTTGGTAATCGCGTAGTTACTTATGTAGGTGTGATTATTTTTTTTTTTATTATTTTTTTTTTTTAAATACATAAATGAGTAAGGAAAGTAACACAAGGAATAGTTAGACTTAAAACAAAAGAAGGAAGGTATGTAGAAGAGGATAAAGGTCTAGCTGACTGCTTCAATGAATATTTTTGTTCTGTATTTACAGATGAAAATTAAGGAAAGGGACCTCAGTTAAGAAAAAGGATAAATGAGTCATTTATTACACGTGAGTTTACAGAGGAAGAGGTTCTATTTTAACTGTCAAAAGTAACGACAAATAAGTCAATGGGACCTGATAGAATACACCCAAAGCTATTAAAAGAGCTTAGTGGTGTACTAGCAAAACCATTAACAGATTTATTTAACCAATCATTGTTAACAGGAGTAGTCCCAGAAGATTGGAAGTTAGCGAATGTTGTGCCCATTTACAAGAAAGGTAATAGGGAGGAGTCGGGCAACTATAGGCCAGTAAATCTTACTTCAGTAGTGGGGAAAGTGATGGAAACCATGTTAAAGGATAGGATTGATGAACATCTAAAAACACATGGATTTCAAGTTCAGAGACAACATGGGTTTACTTCAGGGAGATCATGCCAAACTAATCTTATTGATTTTTTTTTTTTGATTGGGTAACTAAAATAATAGATCAGGGTGGTGCAGTAGACATTGCTTACCTAAATTTCAGTAAGGCTTTTGACACTGTTGCACATAGAAGGCTTATCAATAAACTGCAATATTTAAGTTTGGATTCCAATATTGTTGAATGGGTAAGGCAGTGGCTGAGTGACCGGCAACAGAGGGTTGTAGTCAATGAAGTATATTCGAAGCTTGGACTTGTCACCAATGGGGTACCTCAGGGATCTGTACTTGGACCCATTCTCTTTAATATTTTTATTAGTGATATTGCAGAAGGTCTTGATGGTAAGGTATGTCTTTTTGCTGATGATACTAAGATATGTAACAGGGTTGATGTTCCAGGAGGAATAAGCCAAATGGCAAATGATTTAGGTAAACTAGAAAAATGGTCAGAATTGTGGCAACTGACGTTTAATGTGGATAAGTGCAAGATAATGCATCTTGGATGTAAAAACCAAACGGCAAAGTACAGAATATTTGATAGAGTTCTAACCTCAATTTCTGAGGAAAGGGATTTAGGGGTGATTATTTCTGATGACTTAAAGGTAGGCAGACATTAGAGCAGCAGGAAATTCTAGCAGAATGCTTGGTTGTATAGGGAGAGGTATTAGTAGTAGAAAGAGGGAAGGGCTCATGCCCTTGTACAGAACACTGGTGAGACCCCACTTGGAGTATTGTACACAGTAATGGAAACCGTATCTCCAGAAGGATATTGATACCTTAGAGAGGGTTCAGAGAAGGGCTACTAAACTGGTTCATGGATTGCAGGATAAAACTTGCCAGGAAAGGTTAAAGGATCGTAACATGTATAGCTTGGAGGAAAGACAAGACAGGGGGGATATGATAGAAACATTTAAATATATAAAGGGAATCAACACAGTAAAGGTGGAGACTATATTTAAAAGAAGAAAAACTACCACAACAAGAGGACTTAGTCTTAAATTAGAGGGACAAAGGTTTAAAAATAATATCAGGAAGTATTACTTTACTGAGAGGGTAGTGGATGCATGGAATAGCCTTCCAGCTGAAGTGGTAGAGGTTAACACAGTAAAGGAGTTTAAGCATGCGTGGGATAGGCATAAGGCTATCCTAACTATAAGATAAGGTCAGGGACTAATGAAAGTATTTAGAAAATTGGGCAGACTAGATGGGCCGAATGGTTCTTATCTGCCGTCACATTCTATGTTTCTAATGATACAAACAGCTGTAACAGGAATGTCGTCTTTAGGTTCAGTGATTGCTCTGCATGGTCACATGATGGTCAAGTAACGTGAGATCATTTTAAAGGGCCAGACGCACATAATTTAAACATTGTTACTGTTTACACTGAATTAGTTGCAATGGAAAAACGGCTATGTTGGGAGCTTGTTTGTTTTTTGCTTCTTTTTAAAATTCAGGGGGTTTTTTTGGTTTTTTTTTTTTTGTCTAAAATTTTAAATTCATAATTTAGTGAACAAACTCCAAAGGATATTTTAGCGTTTAAAGTAACTCAGCCCACACTGGTTTCACTGGTTTCTTCCTTCTGGGTGAAAGGGTGATTTAGACATATGCATAGGTGTAAAGATTTGATAAAAAGTTATTTATTTTCAAATCGGATTATACTCTTACAAAACTGGTTAGAAGAATTTTTAAATTTTTTTATTGTAGGATGTGCTTTAAATTTTAATAATTTTAGTTATTTTTTTAATGGTAACAAATCTTCAAATAATGAGTTGGACCCCATTCATTAGAATATTCTAATTCTTGCACCCTGTAAAGGAAGAATGTGTGAAAATGGATTAACCTCTTAAAGACCAATGTTAGACAAACCCTGTTACCTCACCAGTCCTGACATGTGATTGGTCCTGAAAGGGTTACACTGGGAAGAAATGTCAGCAACGTGAAGCATGCCAAGCGTTTCCCCACAATGCTTTGCTAGCCACTTTGTGGCTCACTAGGGCTGTTTGCATCGTATCATAGTTCAGAGTTTTCCTAGAATCCTGCTGCTTCCCTTCGGTTCATTCCATGTCCGTCTCTGCCTTGTCTGATTTTTCCATTTTGTGAAAACCTGAAACAAATATATATATATTTATAAAGTTTTATTTTTTTCTCTGATTAACGGACTCTGTAGAGAGCTTTCTACTTTTTGTTTGGAGGGGGGACTACTAAATCAAATATCCCAAACAATCATCCCTCCATGCTTCACTCACTGTAATTCTAGAATAAATGTCTTATTACTGTCAGAACTATAATACAATAAGCGTTACACCATATATTCGAGTAGTCACAATCTTCACTCTGCTGGTGGTCTCCTGCCATCCCTACCCCTAACATATCGTCTATATGCCTCTGCTTATTTATTATATATAAACCGCTTCATTCACTAAAGTCAGGAATTCAAAGTGAATTTTTACATTCAAAGCCAAAATAGCTGAATGTGAAAAATTCTCCCGGTCAGATGTGCATCCTTTTCGTGTGTTTTGGTCTAAATTTAAAATGCACTGTGAATTCTCGGCAGTTCTCACTTAATTACCCTGAAATGGCGGCTCATTCAAGTATGTATTTTAATATAAAAATATATTGGGTATACCCGTTCCAATCTGTGACCAAGATTTATTCATGAAATGCAAAATGTGGGCCCCCATGGGCGAGCAAAGGCTAAAATCATGGCAATGTTGCTGTAAATTCAGGGCTTGGAATTTAAAGATTTATGATACTAGCCAGGTTTTTGCCATTGCAAGCCATACCCTACCACCAAATGAGAATTTGGACTCACAAGTGGCCAGTGTAAATGTTGCCCTTGGCTGTAATAAGTGTTAAATAAATTAATACAATCACTTTACCTGTTGGCGTAGAAATTTCTTCTCCGCCAAGAGAAACGTTTGCGCAGTGACGCTCTGCAGAAATCGCCTTCTCCAGATATTCCAACTTCTCTCCATTAAACATGTCTGGCCCTGCACACAGTGAATGAAGGTAATACTAAAATAAACTCGATCCACAGAATCACGGACAATGGAGGGTTCTTATCTAACTTAGAACATTTAGGACAATTTTTTTAATTTCTTTCCTTTTAATTTCAATTGTTTTGGCCTAAATATTCCCTGAAGGATCATAGGACACTGAGAAAAGGATTATTGTACTTATCTCAACATATATGTTCTAGGTGGCTGTGCACAACTCTTCAATCCTTTGTGTGAATCTGATAGATTTATTGTTGGTACTGCAAGTTAGTTTTCAATACAACGGTACGACACAATTTAGTTGATAACGCCCCAGTGTTATCTTTAGTGATGAGATGGCATATTTCTCAGTACAACGTATATAAAACTGACCTTTGCTACGATCAATACAGCCCAGAGGGTGAGTTAACATTTCATAACATAAGTCAATACAGAGTACGTCGCTTTACATTATCACATTCTATATTAACATCTCAGCGTGGGAGAAGCTTTTAGTTCTCTTCCGGCAGATGCTATAAAAGTTACTTATTAACAGTTTCAATGCAAAGAAATCTTTAGGAGAAGTGAGACACTAGGTAATGGAACGACTAAAGCCTACTGCGTGAACAGAGTTTGGCATTATCGATGTCCATTTCATCATTTTCATGCACCCTGGTTGGAGGTGATTGGCTGGGACCACTGGGCTAAGTTCAACCAATCAGCACTGCTTCATTCAAATTGGGCAAAACTGATATTAAAGAATCAACCAAAATGCACTGTTTGAAGAATCAGAGTCAGAGTAACCTTCCTATTCGGGTACACACTCCCCCAATCGCTAAAACTCTGTTTTGTTCCAGTGTTGAGGCCAACTTTTCTCAGCAGTCAATGCCCCATCTGCTAACATAATTAGTACTCAGTTGAGGGCGATGGATGTCAGGAGGATGGACTGAGGGGAGGACATCAGCGGTACAGAGCAGCGGGCTGTGCTTCCATTGGCTGGCTGTCAGCAGCTTGCTGTGCTTCCATGGTCGGGCTGTGCACTTTGATGACAGATGCCACATATGCACAGAATTGACATTAGCAAATCCAGAACTCTTGTTCCGGTCTGGCTAATGATGCCAACATGAAAATACCGGAGGAAGATATACACTCCTGGCAGAAGGGGAGTTAAACCCTATATGTGCATACAGACTCCAGGCATCATGACCACTATAAATTACTGAGGTGGTTATGGTGCTTGGAATAACCAATATATAATGCAGAAGTATATTTAACACATTATCAATTCTGTCAAGGAAAGGGAAGTCTCTGAGAGCCAGGAAGAGTGGAAGAGCTCTGATTTATGGCCAACGGGGACAGCCCAGAACACTATAGGCACCATAACCACTGCAGCAAGCAGAAGTGGTTATGTAGCATAGAGACACCCATTACATTGCTATATTTAAAGAAGAGTCTATAAGAAATGAGTATGTCCCTGTTTCTTACCATTCCTTTTCCCATTATCACTGTATTGTATATTCCTCTCCAGTACAACCACGCAATTCCAAGCCGCACTCTCTCCTGGCTGCGCTGAAACCCATCTAGCAGCTTTAAAAGATTAGCTTCATGTAGTGGATTTCTTCTGAAATAAATAATATACCTAGTTTGTCTAGCACATTCAAAATGTCAGGCATTGTTGGAGCAACGCTATGATGGCACAGCATTTATAAGTCGGCATTACAGTGCTATTCATGGGTGCAGATTTTAAGATCACGCATAGGAATACAGTTAGGTGCTAGAAGACGATCAGTATTAGTTCAGGGTGTGTTTAGATTCTAGGTGCTGTGGACTCTAATTACTATCATTCTCAGCCAAATGAAACATGACTGGCGTGAGTTACAGTCCATATTACCCCCAGTGTCCACAAAGTACATCTCTGTAGTGCCTGATGGAATTATTTTAATATGGCTACATGTCTGCCATTAGAGCAGGGGTAGGCAACATTCGGTACTCCAGATGTTGCGGACTACATCTACCCTGATGTTATGTCAGCATTATGGCTGTGAGAGAATTATGGTAGATGTAGTCCATAACATTTGAGGTGCAAAAATGTGCTATTACTGCCCTTGCCATTCTTAACGTGACATTTTAACAGTGACATGTTTCTGGCGAATCCTTTGTGTCAGATCAGTAACGATGGGTTGTGGGACTCGGCTTCACACATCAAAAACTAAAGACAAACCCCGAAAAGCACAGAACTCGTAACTAAACAGCGGCGGTTAGTTGCAGGTTGACCGCGCAATTCTAGAGATGCCCATTACCGTAGCAGCTCTTCGCTGGGAGACAACACGTTTGTTGATGATCCTGACAAACCCTCAGCTTCACAATCACCAGGACAGCCGATCTCTTCTCTCACAGCGTGATTTCTGTACAGGAACAACCAATAGCGAAAAGAACTCTGCACAAGGCGCTCGTTATTGCCGGTCTGACGGATAAAACCTCCATTTCTTTTCTTGGGTGCTGTGTAAAGCAAAGCTTTAATAAGCAGAAGTAACAGCAAAGTGTTCCCCTACTGCATTATCTGAATAGACATTCACCCTCTGGGTTCCAAAGCCACGTGGCAATCAAAACCTCTGGCACTCAAAGTACTGCGCAGGAACTAACCGACCGGTCATAATAAATCACAGAGATTTCCAGGAAATAATGACGGCTGGATAGCGATGTTATACTTATTGGGAACATTTATGGTTCTCGTGGCAAAAACTGTCATTGAAATATCGATATAATGATCGGATAAAGTAACTGAAATGTAACAATAAAACATAAAGCTCTCCTTTACTTCTGCTGTATAAACTGTCAGTTATTTACCAAACTCAGAATTCTAAAGAATTTTTAACATTTAGACCAAAGTAGCTGAGCAGGAAAAATTCTCTGTCTCTACGATAGTAAACTGGGAATTGTGGAGAACAGACAATATATTCCCTCATTTCAAATCTAAATACCTGAGCCGGAAAAATGCATTGGAGTTGGAGATTTTGTTTCTTAAAATTTGAAGTTTTGTTGTTAATATTCCACATTTCTTGCCTGAGCTACAGAATGCAGGGTCAAGGCATCCGTTCTGTGATTTATTACATAGAAATCAAACTTGGCTTCCTGCCCTGTATCACTGCGTTCCAAAAAGGGGCCCTCGGGAAACGGCACCACGAGACTAACCTAAAGCAATAATCCAGCCACCATAACCACTACAGTCAGCTGTAGTGGTTATTGTACCACGAGTGCCCTGGCTAAGTAGTCAAGTTTATGCTCTCAGCGAATGAGCAAGACCTGCCTGAAGAGGTTGTGTTATTTTTTTAAAATGTCTGCCTGTTTTTTTTAAAAACCTGAATATTGAATAATCAAATTAATACTTATGTGAACAGGTTGTTGATCCAAGGAGAAATCTGATTGCTTTTATGGAATCAGGAGGGATTTTTTTCCTTTTTTGTGGCAAATTGAATCTCAGGATCTCCCCTGTCGGCTCATGCAGAGCCGGCGCTATCCGAGCGCCAGCTCTGCTCTCAGCCTCCCTCCCCACTGACCCACATGCAGGGAGGGAGGCAGGAGAGGACCCGGGGAGCTCTAGCCAGCAGCTCCGCTGGGTTCCTCTCTCGAGGTTGGAGCGTTGCCGTGGACTAGAGTTCACTCACCACTGGACCACCAGGGAAGGCAGAAAGGATCTCCCCTCCCTACATAAGGTAAGAAGGGAGGGGGGATATTAAGTAATGTACCCCCACCTCCACGGCTCCACCCCCCACAATCACCCACACACATACAGCACAAACAGACATACACAGCACCTACACACATACAGCACCTACACACATACAGCACCCACACACATACAGCACCCACAGACATACACAGCACCTACACACATACAGCACCAACACACACAGCACCTACACAAATACAGCACCCACAGACATACACAGCACCCACAGACATATACAGCACCCACACACATACAGCAACCACAGACATACACAGCACCCACAGACATACACACCACCAACACACATACAGCACCCACAGACATACACAGCACCAATACACATACAGCACCCACACACATACAGCACCAACACACACAGCACCTACACACATACAGCACCCACAGACATACACAGCACCCACAGACATACACAGCACCCACACACATACAGCACCCACAGACATACACAGCACCAACACATATACAGCACCCACAGACATACACAACACCAACACACATACAGCACCCACAGACATACAGCACCCACAGACATACACAGCACCAACACACGTACAGCACCCTCACAAACACACACAGCACCCACACACACAGCACCCTCACAAACAGCACCCTCACACACAGCACACAAACTGCACCCTCACACACACACAGCACAGTAACAGTACCCTCACAAACAGGACCCTAACAAACATACACACTGCACACTACCAGTACCCTCACACACAAACACCACCCTCACACACAGTACATTAACAGCACCCTCACAAGCACGCACACACGCACAAACAGCACCCTCACACACAGTACATTAACAGCACCCTCACAAGCGCGCACACACACAAAAACCCTCACCCACATAGCACACTACCAGCACCCTAACAGCACCCTCACACAGCACACACAGCAGTGTATGTGTGTGTATATATATATATATATATATATATATATATACGCGGCGTGTGCTTGTGCTTTAGGGAGCACACCCTAATGCAATAGGCTGCGCACGCCTGTGTATGTTGTATGTGCCTATGGTTATAGACCAACATCATGAAGGTTGAACTTGATTGAATTGGGTCTTTTTTTCAGCCTCGGTTGCTATGTAACTATGTAACGTGTGCAGTAGAAGTAGCAGCAGTTCTTTGCAGGAAGTTCTCGCGCCAGGGAGGTGGCAACGGGTGCTCAGTGAAACTGAGGTAAATGGTCAAACACTTCTTAAATGGTTTGACTACTTACTCTGGGAAGGCTCCAGTGCAATCATGGCACCAAAACCACCATAGCTGGATGTAGTGGTTATGGTGTAAGGAGTTTTTCTTTGAAGGAACACTATAGTGTCCCTCTGCGTCCCCCACCCATCACCACACAGCAGTGATGAAAGGGTTAAAAAACAAATAAACACTTTTTTCCCCACTTACCTTAATCCAGCATTGAGGACCCTCTGCCCTGACTCTGTCCACCGATATCATGACAAGGGGGAAGGTAATGTGCAAGTGCGGCAAGGGCCGTGCACACTTCGTGCCTTCCTTATAGGAAAGGACACCCAGTGTCGTTTCATGGAGTCAAACTCTGTGAAACAGCAGGAAGCGCCTCTAGTGGCTCTCTGCTAGATAGGCACTAGAGGCAGCCTTAACTCTGCAATATAAACATTACAGTTTCTCTAAAACATGTTTTACATGTCAGGGTTAAGGGGACAGAGACACTGCACCCAGACCACGTCAATGAGATGAAGTGCTCTGGGTACCTGTAGTGTCCCTTTAATAATGATCCATCACTACTTTAAAAAGGGCAGACCACTAGCCCATGGGCTGTACACAAGCTCTGTGTTACAATGTTGGGCTATTTGGGATCATTGATACTGAAGGACATATTAATCTGGTTCAGCAAGCCATCTCTCCTCTGGCGTTTTCCTACCTGTTGCTAATAAAAGACATGTTTTCCTGAGTTTCCTCCCCCCAATTGGAGCGTGGGCTTTTGTCCTGTATCTGGATACAGCGGCTGCTCGTGTCCAGAAGTTGGACGCCTGTAAGACAGAAGTGACCCGTAAGCCATATGTGAACGCACACGGGATAAGTGTCAACTTTCTGGAATTCAGTGTGAAGGCAAAATAAGTTAAACATTTTGGGCCAAAATAGCAAAACTGAAAACTTAATAACTTAAATTTGCCCCAAGTTTTATTCACAGTCTAACAAACAAACCTGACAACAACATGAGTTTATCTGATATCTGCCAAATATGTTCAGTATTTTAACCTTCCCAAAGGGCAATTAGCTGCATCACCGTGCCATATTAAAATACGTTCACTATATTACATTATTATTATAAAATATCATCTCTATGAAACACCATAATATACTATTATAATAAACGTTCATCGTTATAACGCTCCCATATTATGCTATAATAATAAACGTTCATCGTTATAACATTCCCATACTATGCTATAATAATAAACGTTCATCGTTCTAACGCTCCCATACTATGCTATAATAATAAACGTTCATCGTTATAACGCTCCCATATTATGCTATAATAATATACGTTCATCGTTATAACGCTCCCATATTATGCTATAATAATAAACGTTCATCGTTATAACGCTCCCATATTATGCTATAATAATAAACGTTCATCGTTATAACATTCCCATATTATGCTATAATAATATACGTTCATCGTTACAACACTTCCATATTATGCTATAATAAACGTTCATCGTTATAACGCTCCCATACTATGCTATAATAATAAACGTTCATCGTTATAACACTCCCATACTATGCTATAATAATAAACATTCATCGTTATAACACTCCCATACTATGCTATAATAATATACGCTCATCGTTATAACACTCCCATATTATGCTATAATAATATACGCTCATCGTTATAACACTCCCATATTATGCTATAATAATATACGTTCATCATTATAACGCTCCCATATTATGCTATAATAATATACGTTCATCGTTATAACGCTCCCATAATATGCTATAATAAACGTTCATTGTTATAACGCTCCCATACTATGCTATAATAATAAACGTTCATCGTTATAACACTCCCATACTATGCTATAATAATAAACGTTCATCGTTATAACACTCCCATACTATGCTATAATAATATACGTTCATCGTTATAACACTCCCATACTATGCTATAATAATATACGCTCATCGTTATAACACTCCCATATTATTCTATAATAATAAACGTTCATCGTTATAACATTCCCATACTATGCTATAATAATAAACGTTCATCATTATAACACTCCCATATTATGCTATAATAATATACGTTCATCGTTATAACGCTCCCATAATATGCTATAATAAACGTTCATCGTTATAACGCTCCCATACTATGCTATAATAATAAACGTTCATCGTTATAACGCTCCCATACTATGCTATAATAATATACGTTCATCGTTATAACACTCCCATATTATGCTATAATAATATACGTTCATCGTTATAACACGCCCATATTATGCTATAATAATAAACGTTCATCGTTATAACACTCCCATATTATGCTATAATAATATACGTTCATCGTTATAACACTCCCATATTATGCTATAATAAACATTCATCGTTATAACGCTCCCATATTATGCTATAATAAACGTTCATCGTTATAATGCTCCCATATTATGCTATAATAATAAACGTTCATCGTTATAACATTCCCATACTATGCTATAATAATAAACGTACATCGTTATAACACTCCCATACTATGCTATAATAATATACGCTCATCGTTATAACACTCCCATATTATGCTATAATAATATACGTTCATCGTTATAACACTCCCATATTATGCTATAATAAACGTTCATCGTTATAACGCTCCCATATTATGCTATAATAATAAACGTTCATCGTTATAACACTCCCATATTATGCTATAATAATATACGTTCATCGTTATAACACCCCCATATTATGCTATAATAAACTTTCATCGTTATAACACTCCCATATTATGCTATAATAATAAACGTTCATCGTTATAACATTCTCATACTATGCTATAATAATAAACGTACATCGTTATAACACTCCCATACTATGCTATAATAATATACGCTCATCGTTATAACACTCCCATATTATGCTATAATAATATACGTTCATCGTTATAACACTCCCATATTATGCTATAATAAACGTTCATCGTTATAACGCTCCCATATTATGCTATAATAATAAACGTTCATCGTTATAACACTCCCATATTATGCTATAATAATATACGTTCATCGTTATAACACTCCCATATTATGCTATAATAAACGTTCATCGTTATAACGCTCCCATATTATGCTATAATAATAAACGTTCATCGTTATAACATTCCCATACTATGCAATAATAATATACGTTCATCGTTATAACGCTCCCATATTACATAGTTACATAGTTACATAGCTGAAAAGAGACTTGCGTCCATCAAGTTCAGCTTACCTCACATTTGTTTTTTGCTGTTGATCCAAAAGGCAAAAAAACCCAGTTTGAAGCACAATTTTGCAACAAGCTAGGAAAAAAATTCCTTCTTGACCCCAGAATGGCAGTCAGATTTATCCTTGGATCAAGCAGTTATTACCCTACATTGAAAGACTATATCCTTGAATATTCTGTTCTTGCAAGTATGCATCTAGTAGCCGTTTGAACATCTGTATGGACTCTGATAAAACCACTTCTTCAGGCAGAGAATTCCACATCCTGATTGTTCTTACAGTAAAAAAACCTTTCCTTTGCCTTAGACGAAATCTTCTTTCTTCCAGTCTAAACGCATGGCCTCGTGTCCTATGTAAAGTCTGGTTTGTGAATAGATTTCCACACGATGGTTTGTATTGGCCCCGAATATATTTGTATAATGTTATCATATGCTATAATAATATACGTTCATCGTTATAACGCTCCCATATTATGCTATAATAATATACGTTCATCGTGATAACGCTCCCATATTATGCTATAATAAACGTTCATCGTTATAACACTCCCATATTATGCTATAATAATATACGTTCATCGTTATAACGCTCCCATAATATGCTATAATAATAAACGTTCATCGTTATAACACTCCCATATTATGCTATAATAATATACGTTCATCGTTATAACACTCCCATATTATGCTATAATAAACGTTCATCGTTATAACACTCCCATATTATGCTATAATAATATACGTTCATCTTTATAACACTCCCATACTATGCTATAATAATATACGTTCATCGTTATAACACCCCAATATTATGCTATAATAATATACGTTCATCGTTATAACACCCCCATATTTTTAGATTGCCCAGTGAACTCCCTGTCCAGTGTAATTTTAGTAGCTTTTATTTCGGTACAATTTGACATTTAGTGAATAAGCACCGATTCTTGAACATTTTCAAATAAACTACTAAAACGAATTGTCTGTCAGCATATTTCTGAAATCATTGTTCTGTCTCTTTGTTCGATGTTACTCTGGGATTGTATCACTTTAAACTAATAAATAAAGTAAAACGTAAACAAATAACTCGATTTTTCATTATACCCCACCTTTTTGCCCTAATGTCGTCAGATTGGATTTAAGGAAGTTGGGACGGAGAAACTGCTATGTTTACATTAGGGTTAATCCAGCCTCTAGCGGCTGTCTCATTGACAGCAGCTAGAGGCGCTTCCGTGTTTCTCACTGTGATTTTCACAGTGAGAAGGCGCCAGCGTCCATAGGAAAGCATTGAGAATTCAGCCTAAGAGGAGGAGGAGAGCTCCCCCGCCCGGCGCTGGAGAAAGAGGTAAGTTTAACCCCTTCCACCCCCTAGAGCCTGGCGGGAGGGGGTCCCTGAGGGTGGGAGCACCCTCAGGGCACTATAGTGCCAGGAAAACGAGTATGTTTTCCTGGCACTATAGTGGTCCTTTAATCTTATGTTGAATAGAAACTCCGTTTACAATATGTAAGGATGCATCCTGGTAAAATATTTTATAAATAAATAAATTAAGTAATTAGGAGACTATATACAGTAATGTATCAATCCATGTCACCTGCCTGCTTCACAGAACATGTAGAGTGTAAAATAAGGGCTTGGTGCCCCCTAGTGGCAGCCTTCCAGCGCTGCAGGTCTTTAGATGATTTTTTCTTTTGGTGTAGCACGTTGACTAAGAGCTGTTTTTTTAGGAATTTATTTTTCCAGTGGTGAAAATATGATAAAAGGAGGCGATGGCAACAATCAGACATGAATTGAGTAGCCGCTTCTCTCTGTGTAGTGTGGATTTGGGCTGACAATGCCCATTTATTGAACACCCTGCAATGTTGGAAAATGATAAATAAATAGAGTTAGAATGCAGAAATGATGCCTAATAACCTTATTGTACTTCACAAACAGGGGAATCAGCAGAGGCCGGTTAGCTCACAGTATACGCCTGTGTTATTACAAACTGTGCTATAAAACACAAGACAAATGTAAGGTACCACCAAAATTACCAGCATGACAAAGTAAGATTCTCACAGTTATTAAATAGACTCTGAACTGTAACAAATTAAAATTAAAAAACTAAAAACAAATGTGAAGGTAAAATAGCAAAGCTGTGACTATAGGTAGATTGCAGTTTTTTTATTTTTTTTTATATTTGGTATTTTAGTCCCAATTTTACCATTCAGATTTTAATTCACCATAATTCAGATTTTAGATGTTAATGAAAAGATGACATAGTACAAAAAGTGCTCACCAACAAGGAGAACTGCTAGGTCATGCTGGAGAGACTTACATATGGGGGTAACCCATTTACTAAGACAGCGAAATAACAAAGAATGTATACTGCTTCCTAGAATAAGTAACAAATTAAGACAAAATTGAAATAAGATTACAAGGAAGGAGCAATTCCCCAGAGTCCTATTAGGTTTCCCCGAGGACCAATAAGAGCTAAATAAATGTCTCAGTTGGTATGTTAAATCTATTCCAGCTAATTCGTCTGGTGATATCCAACCTGAGATTGTTACTAGGTGATACTAGGTAGACACTCAGACCAGATACATAGGCTGATACATTATAAGGGTGGAGAGGGTAGGGGGGGCGAGGACCACCCTTGGACAGCTTGTATGTGTGTGGGTTTTTTTTTTTCTCCCTTAATTTGAGTGCTTTATCTTTTGATTTTTTGATGTTGAGCTAAGTTAGGCTGGGAGAGGACCAGGGGTTACTACAACCAATCTATGGGTAACGTTGTGGGTGTCTAACCCTTCTTGTTTGGGTTCCCAGAAACTATTTACAGGAATGGAGTGTTGATTAACCCTCTGACAGCCAGTGTCTGCTCATTATCTAAGTACCTCTGAAACCTGTGAACGTTACTCAATGGATACTGAAATCTAAGGGGATAGCTGGCCGCTTAATCCTTGGACTACCAGTGTTTTCCCATTTTTAGTGGGTTTGTCTACATATACCCCACTTCTGGTGTCACCCCTTATACGGTATCAGCTTATCTATCTGGTGCTGTCTTATAAAATAAAAACAAAAAAAACAGCTGGACAGATTTAAACACCATCAGAACAGGGTACACATTATATGTGCCTACACAAAGATTTATTTTATGTTGCGTATTATCACAGTTTAAAAAGTTACGTCCTATATTTGTCTTCTGTCCATATTTGTTTTCCTTACCGTTTACACAATACTTTGTTGCGATATTTTTGGCACTCTACTACAAGCCGGTGCTGAAATAACCAGATTTGCCAGAAGTTTCCCATAGTGCAATGTGCCACTATGTTCCTGCGCGTTGATAGCTGTGACTGAAGGTCTAAGACTGTCTTCCATCTGGTCAGGGCCCACAATTTCCTTCTGTTCCTGAGATAGCGTTCTGCTTTGGCTTCTTGTACTGACTGTGCCCAGTGCTCCATCAACCCTTTAAGAGTCCTGTGTTCTACAGCCCTCTGAAAAATGGCCGCTTTCCTCTGTGTGAGTGAATAAGCTCTCCAGAGTCCAAATATGGTCCTTATTTTTGTGAGTCTCCAGGTCATTTGGAACGCGAGGACCCTCTGATTTACCATAGAGCTTTCAATCATTCTCTTCTTCCAAACCTGAAAACAACTTAAAATATAGAATCAAAGTTACAGTAAATGCTACAAGAGATAGCGAATACATAGCCTTTAGAATAATTTTACTCATTGTATTAAAATTATTCTAGTTTCTTATTATTTATTTAGAGACGGCGAGGAGCACGATAAAAGGAAATAATAGGAATCAATATAATACGGATTAGTGTAGGACCTGCCCGTCCCAGTATGCATTGATTCACTAATAACGTCATTTAGAAAGTAAATCCCTGAAAACCATTGTGACGGTAAACGGGAGAGAAATCTAATGCCATCCTCTGTGCTGTATCCCAGCACTGGTTTGGGCTCCTCCTGGTGCGTATGCAGTACTTATACTGTAGGTATATTTTTACTGCATATACAGCATCTCACAAACGTGAGTACACCCCTCACATTTTTGTAAATATTTTATTATATCTTTTCATGTGACAACACTGAAGAAATGACACTCTGCTACAATGTAAATTAGTAAGTGCACAGCCAGTATAACAGGGTAAATTTGCTGTCCCCTCAAAATAACTCAACACACAGCCATTAATGTCTAAACCGTTGGCAACAAAAGTGAGTGCACCCCTAAGTAGGAAATGTCCAAATTGGGCCCAAAGTGTCAATATTTTGTGTGGCCACCATTATTTTCCAGCACTGTCTTTAAATGTATCACCTGGAGATACATGTTGACTGAGGAAGCTGGGATGGTGTGGATGGAAACATATTGAGATGTCTGGATTCTGAGGGTACCTGAGCATGGTGCCTCGCTGCCAGTATAGAAAGGCCTGCTTCCTCTTCATTGTCTCAAAGTGCCACCTTCTCATCATGGACCTTTTCAACTGCTCTGCATGATGCAGAGACCAAAGAGAGAGGTAGGTGGAAAATCTTCTCTCTAATAAGGGATTTAAAATATGTTAAAGCTGGGAATGCTGACTTCACAAAATGGATTAAATACAACAGCATTCAAAGCAAACTTCAGAGTTAGAATGTACAGGGCTCACTTACAGAAATTAAAAGGGACACTGTAGGAACCAGAACCACTAGGTTATTCTGTCCCTGCAGGCCAAGCATTGTAAACACTTCCTTTTATGAGTAAAAACAGTGTTTACATTGCTGCCTAGGACCACCTCTACTGGCTGTCACTCAGACACCTACTAGAGGCGGTTCCTAGATTTGGTCCTACAAGGATTATCAGACTGACATTCAGGATCTCCACGCTCCAATTAATCTCTTTGAGGAGATGCTGTTTGGTGCAGCTCAGTCATTTTCCGTGCATGTGTTTAAACCTCACAATGTTTCCCTATGGGGAAGACTTGGATTGGCTGAGATCATCAAGAGACCAGCACACCGTGGCAAAAAAGGTAACAAACTGTTTTTGTTTTTTTTTGTTATTCATATTGCTATAATATTTATTATCCACAACATGGATTGCTTCAACATGAGTGGGGCGAGGAAGGTGCAATGTACTCTTTGTTAAATTGTTAGTTATAAACACATAACATTAAGCCCTCCATTCAAACTCCCACAACACTTCAACTAAAGATGTCCTGCTACCAGACATGCGTGTTATGGCATAGCCTTGATGAGGACATATAAATGAATCATGAAGCTCATTGAGGTCATCTGGGTCTGCGCACTTTTCCTAATCCCATCACAAGTCATGGAAAGAGACTTCGTATTTTTCTGTTTTTTTAAGTCCAGATACAGGCTTCCCAACAGTCCTGATTTTGGCGACACAGTCACGATTTTCTGTCTCTGGTGTCCTGCAGAACTGTCCACCGGCAACAAAGTGTAAGCACTGGCACAGTGAACACGCACTAGAACCACGCAGAGAGAGCTTCAGTACGGCCACCAATTATGGGGGTCCTCAGTGACGTGAGTTACATCAATGGTCTCAGTCCCAGTCTCACTTCTTCCAATGTTGGGAGATATGCAGATGTTTGACCTGGTACCCCAGAGATATGGTGAATGCTTTGTGGGGAACCTGGACATACAATCACCACTTTTGGACAGTGACCAGAAATCTAACAAAGCCAGCGCCTGTTTTTTACAGTGGCCAGATATCAGCTTAAAGATCTGAGACTTCCTTCTTGCGGGGGCCACCATCTTTAAATTACATAAATAGTTTGAAACCCTTAATGATCAATGCACTTTATGCCATTAGGGAAACAGCAACTGGAATACCTGCCACAGATCGAAGTAGCTACTAGCATCCCACGGTACTAGAAAAAGTACATGTTTATTTGAACTAAATGTATGAATTGCCCCGTTTTCTCAAAGACATTTATCAAAAACTAGTGGACACATTTAAAAATAACAAAAACTGTGTAAAAAAAGTGCTGTGTGGCGGAACAGACCTCGCCACGTGTTCTTGGAGGGGGCTGCTTGCCCACCTCCTACCTTCTGACTATGGCCCTGGGATATATGGCATTTGAAAACACTATTTGTGCCCTGTGACTAAACTGGAGATTGTGCACAAATATGACTATTGTCCATATTTTTTATGATTCCCTTCGTTTGTTGCACTGTTCCCCATGTGTTTCATCTGTTGGTCCGGCTGGATAGACTACCAGACAAACTGTGGAGTTACTGGGTGGCCACCATTTCATGTATCAGAGAACAATGGATGGCGGCCATTTTAACTCACAGACACTGTTTGGACTTTTCTACATGGTGCCATCTCGCGGGTATTTGGTACACAAAGACATCATGCAGTAGTTTTAAACTATACAACAGGGGACACATTATACAGTAATTATTTTTCAAATAACCTGTATATGTTCTGCAGAATCTGTATTAAACTGTATCTTCCAAACTACTGGACGGATCTGGGTGAATTTTGGATATGTGGTTCACCCAGATCCCCCGGTTCAGAGGATATACTTTTATGGGGTTATTGCATGTTTTGGGGTCCCTGTGATATGTTTTATAATACTGTATTTCTCTGCCTGTGATAATTATATTAACCATTGTGTTCAATAATCATATCATAGGCAGAGGGGAGGATTTTGTGTGGGAGTGTCTGTGTGTATTGTATGGATTGATTGGTTGTATTTCAAAACCCTGTGGGCAGTACTATGTTTGTGGATTGTGAATAAAAGAGGCTGTATGTGCCAGTACAGTCAGTTCTGCTTGACCCCTTAAAACGAAGTGTCGTCTCGTTATTGGGGGAATTGGATTGTATGCTGATTGCCAGGAGTGTAAGCTGATTGTATACTTTTCCTGTTCAGCTGCTTACAGCATTCATATGCTTGAGAGCATTAAAATTCTTCTCCGGTTCGGTGGTTGTGGTGTCTGCTGCAGTGCTTGGAGTCCTCAGGAATCGCTAGGAGCATCCTTCAACAGAGGTACCCAGTCGGGGTGCCAGGTGATTCGTTACATGCTGTCTGAGTCGAGAACAGTTTTTCAAACTAAAGATGAATAAGTACTTACGCTGATATTGTCCGTGGCAGTGCTGTAAAATTGTTTGCACTAATGCATCGTCTTTACGCTTAAATCTTAAAGCGATTTCTCTCTTTTGGAACAGTCGCCTCTTCCATATGATGAATACCTTTCTGCACTTCCACAAGAAATTCATCTTCTGTGCCAAATGCTGCCCGATGTCCTCTCCATTTGAATATGTGAGCCATGAGGTTCTAGAAGAACACAGAGAATCAAGGAGATGGTAGGTTTTTATTAAGGACTAAACCAAAAACGTGTCTACAGCCTATCTCAAATTCCAAATGTTATTCGGATCACTGCAATGACTGTTATAAAGGACAGTAGCAAAGAAAGAACCATGAACTCAATATATAGTCTGTACACTGTGTTGTCTATCTCAAAAACACATTAAAATATATTTATATATTTAAATTTTTATGATTTGAAAAACTTCCCTAACTATTAGGCACTATTGATATTCAAACAATGCACTGTTGACTGAGAATAATTAACTTTTAGTTCTGTGGCCAAGCAGTTTGGACACATACCGTCTTTGGGGGAGAACTTGACGAATCTTCTCTCTGTCATTCTGCGCTATTTTGTGAATGTTAACAGAGTTTTTAACCCAGATTGTAAAATATTTCTCCATGATCAATTTATCGTTGTTGGACTGAAAACAGGTTTTAGAGTCACCATGCACTTCTCCAGAGATCTGCTAAAATGAAAAACAAATTATAATGTTAATGGTCAGCACTTTGATATCATCATATAGATTTTAACCTATTGATCGTAGTGCCTATTGACATAGATCAAGCCATTAAACCTCATGGTGGAGCATCTCAAATTAATATTTTATTTAAATACTCTTCCAAGTATTTCTGTCTGTCTCGTGGTAAAAAACATGGCCTGACAATTCAGATCTTGCGAGGACCTACACGTAGGACCAATCTGATATACTCAAGGAAGATTTTCCTCTATAATAATAGCTCTAGTGAGGTAACAATCGTATGAGACACACTACAAATGATAGTTTTGATGTTGAATATTTAGTCATTTATTCATGAATGTCATTTATACTCAGTGATCAACAAAAATTATTTGATCTAGGCATTTCATAACAATTAGGACCATCCACTATGCCTGTGTCAGTGTTCGCCCAACCATTCTCAGACTACTAGCAGACCAAAATTCATTGAGACCTTTGCTTTAGCACAGGTGAGTTAATCCGTGGCATGGCCATTTTCAGTGACACATTGAGGGGATATATCTTCAGTCCTTGGCTTATTAGTGGTTCATGCGGACATGTATGAAAACCACTGCTGCGTGGTAGCCATTCTGCTACTTGCATTAGCCTGTCCGAAAGGCAGACTAGAAGTCGATCCACCTTTGTAACCCAATGTAAATGTGTCCACATCAACTCTCCTCTTGAAGTTAAGATACACATTTCATGGGCTCGGTTACAGTCATTGTTCTTGCTCATAGTTTGACAAGTAACACGATCAAGGAGTAATTTAATCACAAGCGACTAACTATTGTCTCACTCCATCCTATTGTGAGTGTGAATTATAGATTTTAGGAACCTACGGATAGCTGCTTTCTCTAGTGAAGATTCTCAAGTAACTCCACTATAATGAAAAGAGTATTAAAAAAAACACAAGTTTGGCCTTGATGGCTTTATTTTTTATTTTTTTATTAATTCTTTATTTTTTGTTGTGCGGGTGGTTACAGATTATCAACGTACGCCACAACAGCGTGATTTAAGAGTAACATATGTTAGACAGTGGCATGAGAATTCGTACATTTTGTATATATATGTATACAACGCTAGATTAGTTAAGTTAATGTAGTTGTGAAGTGGTCGATTGTTCTATAGTGTAACAGAAGTTAGTCTGTGTGTGGTGCCTGGGCATAGTGTGCTGTGCATACAGAGACTGCACGGATCTACAGAATCGAAAACATTGTTTTGTCTTGCCTAATGTTCAGGGTGGCATCACTGCTTAGTCTAAACCTGTGTATTAACTGCTTTGTCAAGGGTTAACTGTTCTTTGAACCATCAGAAATGGGTTTCATCATAGCTAGCTTTGTTACCACAAGTCCATGATGACATATGAGCATAATCTATTCGGGGCTTGTTTTACGCTTCTGGGTCTGGGTATTCAGCTGTTTTGGGTGCTCGGAGACAGTCCAGGTTATAATCACCCTTGCGGAGCAGTGTGGTAGGCGCCTCAGCCTATACTCAGCGCTGGCAGAACCCTTGTGCTGTTGCTATTAGTCCCTTCATTGCAGTCGCGGCGCCCTGTATCTCTGCTTCGGGGGTCAGTTTCAGTGTGTCTTTTCTTGGTGTGCAATATCGCAGTCGCTTGTGTTGCAGCAGTGGTTGGGAAGAGGTGCCTGGTGCTGCACTGGTAGCCGGGTCTAAGGTCAGGCACTTTATTTGTGTGCGTCGCTGGTTTTGAGGTCCCAGTATTGCTTGTGTGCGGGTGGGTGCGTGTGTCCGAGAGGCCTGGTTCAGAGTCCCGCCACGAGGCTCTCCAGAATCTATTTTGCCTGACGGCCATCTTGGATGCTCGGGGTACCTGCTTGTAGTACCTGCGTCGCGCTGCTGGTTGTTTTCAGGAGGCCACCATTAGATCAGCTTGGTGGTGAGTCGCCCCTCGACTTTGCAGTGCTGCCCTGAGGCCAGCGCAGATCATGTCAAATATTTCCATAGGGGACGTGCGCGCCTTGGGGCAGGTGCTCCGCTTTCTCCGCTTAGGTCGGGCGGCCATATTGGCTGTACCTCGTGGGTCTGTTGCCCCTCCATTTCTTGTGGCTGATATGCTCGTGTTCTATGCTGGTCCTTGCGTCCAGAGGGGACCAGGATGTCCCCCACCAGTCCAGGGGGTGGGGGGAGGGTAAGCTGAGGTAAGATCGCTTGTGGGCTCTGGCACAGAGGAGAGCGGCCGTCTCCCCTCTGCTTCAGCCCCAGTAGGCCGCATTTGGATCTCAGCGTTCCCGGGGTTGGCAGGCACCGGGGTGGTGTCGTTATGCTCAGCGGGGCACCCCCGACGTGGGTGGCACACCCTCTGATGATTGTGGGCTTGGTAGTCGCCACTTTCGCCCCGGATTCCGCCCGCCGGGTCGAAGCTCTTGGCAGGTGCGTCTGCACGGCTCGGTGGTCAAACTCTGCCCCCCGATGGCTTTATTTTTTTAACGCTTGTGATTGTTTATTTTTTAGCATAGTGATTATAGTGCCTACAACCAGTGTGTAGACTAACCAGACCAATTTATATAAACTGAGTGGCCCAAATCCAGTTTCATTCAGTTGCGTCAGAATAGCAAATGGCAATGGCCGGTAAGTAGACCTTCACTCTACATATCAGATCACTTTACTCATGGCTGGATTACCCTACGTACCTTCAAAACTGACCCTAACTAAGGATATTAAGTCAGAATTCAAATCTGTTCCTTATTCAATTCATATCCGCCCATGGCTTTAGACATTATACACGGAATATCCATTCCTAAATAGTGAAATTTCAAGTTGAAATTGATCTAGCATTTGTAGAGTTCCTCCCTAGATTTGTACCCACCTTCCATTAAGTCATTAGCTAATTTTGGCATTGTCTACCCCTCTAGCTGTAACTGTATTCCTGTACTTACATTATCATTAGAATCCCAGCAGGATTTAATTGGCCACATTTTATCTGTATTCTTCAGAATTACAGCCCAAGCCAGAGCCCGCAAGCCTTTCTGTAGTAAATGCTGTTTGTGCAATTTTTTGGCAGCCTCCAATTTTTCCCGGAGTAGCCTATTCCAGGCTCGAAAAAAACAAGAGAGGAGCAACTTCTCTGGGGAGATCAGATACCTATAATAAGTATAGTAAACCTGGTGAGGCTGATTTCAGGAAAAATGCTCTAAAAAATAAAATGATCTTTAATACAATTCTTATTGGCCCCGAATTACAGACTAATCCTTGTTTTGATATTGTTAGACTCTATGAAATGTCTCTATTTCCATTCATTTACTGAAATAATTTTGTTTATAATTTATATAGTCATTAGATAAAATTTTCCACACCCAACTCACCTCATACCTGTCAAGATCCAACACATTTCTATCCAATCAACCCTGTCACTGCTGTGATATAACACATTATACTCAATCAACTACATACCTGTTACAATACAACAAAGGTTCATCCAATCCACCTCATCCCTCTGATACAACTACACTCAAATCAACCCTATCCCTGTATCGTTACAACACATCTTCACCCAATTAACCCCATCTGATTCAGGATCCAAAATATCTACAACCGATTCCATCCCTGTTGAGTTCCATGATATCTACACCTGGATTCTACGATTACCTTTCATTTGCTGTATTCCAAGGTGATGCACATGTGCAAATCTAAAATAACATATAAATAAAACAAGGAGAAAAATATTAACATTGTTACAAATAGATTCACAATAATAATTAATCTTAATTGTAAAAGATCTGTTCACTCAGCCCTGTCTTGCACCAAAATAATAATCAAGTTTTTTCAGAAAACAAAAACAAAACACCTCTGTATTTATTTAAACTGACCGTACCTCACTGGGATACTTTTTGAATCCATCCATGGGTAATGTAACTGAATGTATTCCTCTTGAAACTTGTCCATACATTTCTAATGTGTCAGCTATCTCAGTTAAGTGCTCTTCACGTTCTAAAGGCCTAGTGTCAGGTAAATTGGAGATGGGGGTATTCCAACAGCACTGACTGTTGGTCACTCCCTCTAGTGACTTTTGATCATCTCTTAGTTTTCTTGGAAAGGTAAAACGTTCTATTAGTGTATCACAAGATTTGAAAGTACCAAAGTTTGTCTTTTCACCATTTGTGCATGGTTTATTGAAGGCCATGCTTGCATCTTTTTCTTCTCCAGTGCATGGAGAGCAGGATATATTCTCTGTGTCTGTAAGGTCCAGAGACCTCATGTTGTAAATAGTTGCTCCAAGGTTGTGATCATATAAAGATGAAACTTTTGAGCTTGACAATGAAGTTGAGTAGACATTGATCGCCAATGGTTTATTCACAGTAATTTCATTTTCATTTGTCCTCATGAAACCTGGATTCTGGACACATGAAGAGGACTGAACACATTGTGGATCGTCTATATTTTTAGATTTTGGAAGATGAGTTAGCTCATTACGTTTAGTAGAAATGTGATTTACCCTTGGTATTGAGTATTGGAGATCAGCAGAAAAGTGGGATACCTGCAACTCTGAGTCTTCTGTGTCAGTAGAAGAGGAAGAGTCTAAATTACACAGCAAGTCCACACTAGATTGACACACAGGATATACGGAAGGTTCTTCATTTGATTTGAGCAACTTGTTGAGTAATGGTAACTGAGTTTGCATGACAAAAGAAGTAATCTCTGAATGGAATCCAGACTTGACCCAAGAACATCTCCCGCATTGTGAAGTTCTAAGACTGGAGACCTTTCCCCCACAATTCAGATCTGAGCTGTGTCCTCTTTTGCCAATAATTATTATGGATTCATGGGCTTCCATGAAAGTTTTTTTCGAAAGTGACAAATTTGGTTCTTCCTTGCGCCCAAATGTTGTGGTGTCCCTCGCAATGTCATTTTGACTAAACAAACTTGAATCTGGAAAATAATTTGTCAGAGCACGTTTATTCTGCCTGGATCTCAGTTTTGCAGGAGATAGATTGCTCTGTTTTTTCCGGTGATTATCAGGAGTGATCTTATAACCTCTAAATCCTTCATAAGGCAGTGAATACAAATATATATTGGCTTGTACCACTCGTGGATCAAAATTCACTTGGCCTCGCTCACCTCTACCTCTTCTATAGGACATATTGCCTTTGTTGTGTTGGCTGCATGTCTTTATTGGTTTCAAATCTTCTTTTTGGATATCAGAACAACATCTTGAGTTCATTTTTTTATTTTATTTAATTTCCACAAAGAATAAAACCTAGAAAGAAACAGATTGCAAAAAATTATCCAAAACAATTTTTACTACTTTTCACATCAATGTCATCCTAGATGTTCCGAATTATATTTTCCTTCATGATTGGCTTAGTGAAGTGGTTTTGGTGTATACATCATGCCTGTGCAGTCTCGCTGCTCAATTCTGTGCTGTTTAGAAGTTAAATTACTTTTTTTATGCAGCCCTAGTCACACCTCCCCTGGCTGTCAATCACACAGTCATCCTACACACTTCTTCAAAATATAGATATAAAAATAAACCGGACACAGTTCAGTACAAACAAAGACGTTCGTGCTGGGCCAAAAGGGGGGCGGATCAACTTCAACAAATTCTGCAGCTGAGAATAGTTAGGATCTTTACTACATTGTTCAACTTTAACCTTGGCACCTCATAGATTTATGATCTGTTTTTCACATAATGTTCAGCCATTTTTTAGGCAAACATTAAGAGTGGTTAATATCATTGGCCTGAATGAAAGACTGGTAGAGAGGTACAGGAAGTCATTTTGGGAGTCCAACAGTCATCTTAAGGCTCTGTTTCTGGAAGTCCAGGGCAAGTTGATCTCTGATGGTGGTTTTATACCAGATGTATATACACAGGGCTATTCAGTAAACTCTGAGTATGGTCTGGATTAGCAAAATTATGTGAAAAATCACTTGAGAGCAAGTGGCTTGTGATTCACATATTTAATAATGACAAATCCAGCTGATGTGGTTATATCATCTGAATTAATAGGTGTGAAGAAATTACAGTGTTATTTCAGTTATTTGACTTTTTTCCGTTCGGTAGCTGTAACTACCGAACACTGACCATCCTCCTGGCTCATTATCTTTAAATAGAACAGTCAACTTAGTGCTCTCCCTGTGTGTCCGCCATTTGTATAGTCGAATACCACGTGCAGGAGAAAATGGTGGCCATCTTGTTTGCACAAAAGGAGGCAGCGGGACTTGGTTGTCGAGTGTCTGGAACTAAAATCGGACACTAAACTTCCCGAACACTGGTCAAAGTAAACAAGAAAAAAAGTGGAAGGGATGAAACACCTCTCACAAATAGTGAGGGGAGTTCATACTCCTCCACAGATGTATACCTCCTAAAGTTGATATAACATAAGGTGGGGGTAAAGAAAAGGGGATATAAACCTTTATTATAAAGTTAAAAATTCCTCCAATCTTGGAGAATAATAGAAATATTGTCAAAAGGGATACAACAATGCACTAACTCAATGTGCAAATAAACTGAAGTAAACTACTCATATAGGGAGTTATATCAAAGTTGCATGACTCTAAGTCATATCCATATACATGTAGATTCCCTATAGGTGTATACTTAAATAAACCCTTTCTAAAGATGTCAAGACCTTAATCCAGGACTTCTACTGGTAGGGATATATGTGTTGCCTGGTAGCAGTTGTGAGACCACAGGGAGAAAAGGACTTAGTCACTATTCCGGGCAAAAGGTTAAAGAGAATAAATGCTCGCTAGTGTGAAGAACAGGAGCATGTCCATCTACATGTGAGTATTATCGATGTAAACTTCATATAGCTCAATCTCTCTAGTAGTGAATGTTACCCACAGGGGTATACAGTGCATAAACCAAAGAGAAATCAGAGCTAGTAATACTCAGTAGATGTCAAAAAGGGAGGAGGGGGCCCTCAAGTGCACCCACCGGGGAAAAAAAACTAAAAATGCCCTGGACTAACTGTCTGACTCACACAATGGCAAACTCAACTAAACTGCTACATATATGTTGCCTGGTAGCAGTTTGTGAGACCAAAGGGAGAAAAAGACTTAGTCACTATTCCGGGCAAAAGTTTAAGAAGGATAAATGCTCACTAGTATAGAAGACAGGAGCCTGTTCATCTACATAAGAGTATTGTCGATGTAACTTCATATAGCTCGATCTCTCTAATAATAAGTGTTGCCCATAAGGGTATACAGTGCATGAAGGAAAGAGAGAAATAAGAGCTAGTAATACTCAGTAGGTATCCAAGAGGGGGGAGGGACGCCCTCAAGTGCATCCATCAGAGAAAACCTAAAATCACCCTGGACTAACTGTCTAGCTCACACAGTGGCAAACTCAACTAAACTGCTACTTCAAGGCAGCCTCAAAGATATCCCTATCATAGCATCAAGTAGGTGTACTATAAATAGAAAACGAAGAGAAAAATATATAAACTAAAAAAAGAAAATAGAGTGCAAAGGTGTCAAATGCCTAAAAAAAGACATGGTAAAATAATAGCATCGGCAAAAGAGGAATGCCCGAAGCGTGTTTCGGCGTTTAGACATGCCCTTGGTCAAAGTAAGTATACGAATGCCTGCTTCCTTTTCCCAAACAGCCAGGAGACCGCTGTTTGGCAGTTTTGTTCCTACGAACCAGGGGAACAATCGCTACTATGAGCCAGGGGGTGCAGATCGTGCATTTATTTGTTTTTAAGACTTGTCGAAATAGACCGGCCGCACAACCTAAATTCATGGAACTGTTTCTGGGCAGGAGCCTTGTGTGCGGTCGGTCAAAATTGGACTCCCATAAAATTCCAAAACCCCTGAACTGAACTGGGTGATTTTTGGATATGTTGGTCACCCAGATCAGGGCTATCGGGGATATGACATTTCTGGGGAGTTTATGTGTTTTGGGATACTTTTCAAGTTTTATAAAAAAAAAATTAAAAAAATCTCTGCCTGGAGATAATTGAGTTATTACTTTATCTGAGCCAATTATCTCCAGGCAGAGAGGAGGGAATTATCTGTTTTTATTGGGAGTGTCACCCTTTGTCACTGTATTATTATTGGTTGTAACCTTTGTGTCCCTGTCCCCCGCAAGGTCCATGTGGGAGTGCCATAAAAGCCAGTGTGGCACCCATTGAAATCATTCCTGTTACACCCTTCATCTAGTTTCGGCTGATGTTTGGGTACCTGTCTACTTTACTGGGAGAATACACTTGGGAGACTGACATTCATGTGGAGAATCGTTCGACTCAGCACCTGAACTGCGAGCTATAATCACTCGGGCTCAGGCAGCTGATATACCAGCGTTCGTTACAATAGGTTCCATCCAGTGCACTGGATCCACAAATATCAAATTCTCACTGACTGTGTGCTGTATAATTCCATTATAATGCAGGTTAGTGTGTGTGTGTGGGGGGGGGAGTTGGTTAGTGAGTGTGTTAGTGTGTGTGTGTGTCTGTTAGTGAGTGTGCCTGTCAAAGAGTGTGTTAGTGAGAGTGTCTGTTAGTAAATGTGTATGTCTGTCAGTGTGTTTCTGTGTATGTGTGTTTGTCACTGTGGGTCGGTCAGTGAGTATATGGGTGTCTGACAGTGAATGAGTGTGCATCTGTCAGTTAGTGTGTATGTGTATCTGTCAGTGAATGCGTAGCTGTCAGTGTGTATGTGTGTTTATAGGTGAGTGTGTGTGTCTGTCGATGAATGTGAGTGTCTGTCAGTGAGTGTGTGTGTGTATTGGTTAAACAGTGTGTGTGACAATGACTGTATCTGTCAGTGAGTATGTCAGTGTATGCATCAGTGAAGGCGTGTATCTGTCAGGCAGAGAGCGTGTTGGTTTTTAAAAGCAAGTGAAATTTAGAAGAGGGAGGGGTGCCCGAGTTTTGTCATGCCTAGGGCAGCACAAAACCAGAATACACCACTGGGTATATCTACAAAACACAAATGAAGTATTGTTTGTTTGTAATTTTTTTGGGGTTGTAGAGTGTCTCTTTTATTCGGAAGCAATGGTGCATTATGTGAATAATGATAAACCCTGGGTACAATTTCAGAATGGCTCCAGATAACACCAGATTATGTTTTTTCTAATCCAGATTGGTGACATTGAAACTAGTGAATAAGCGTGTCAGGGTTACATGTGAATTGTCAGGAATTTGAAGTAAAATTCAAAATTCAGCCCAAACTATCTGAACTGTAAGAATTCTCGGAGTCACTTGTTACCAGGTTGGCTATTTTGCCATAAAACTTGAATTTCACTCTGGAATATACGTTCAATTCCTGACCATTCCCACGTTAGCCATGAACCCTAATAGTGGTTCCTTGTTCTCATATTGTCTATTTATCACCTACTTCTGTTGTTCCAGAGATCACGCCATCTCTCCAGACATCTCGCTCCGAAGCCTGGATACAATAGCTGCTGCACAGGTTTTAGCTGCGATTCTAAGCTGATTATTCCTTGCGATTAGTCTGATGCACAGTCGCTACATCTGCCTCCATACAGAAAGGAGGTGGTGACCCCGATCTAATGATAGTTTAACCTGTCACAAACCAGTCGTGCCAAATGGGGCAATCAAGGCGTTTGGCTTCTATGTATATAACAACATATTTTCTTAAAGGCTTTACATTTCAATGGTTCTGTTTACATGCAATAATAATTATTACATAATAATAGAATACGAATAATATTCGGTTTAGCGTGATGAAAGATACTGGGGTTGATTTTACACAGAAGTTTCTACTGTTCCTAAAGTCCACTTTATAGGGGAGAAAAAAGGGTATTTACTGAACAGCGATTGATGGACTTGACAAAAAAATATTTAAACTTCAATATTCAACAAATGAACATCATCAAAGCTACAGAATTCACTAGTGATTAGTGAATGAACTTAATGTTGCACTTTTTAAAATCTTGGAAATATATTAAAATGATGCACTTAAAACCTTATTAAATTACCTAAAATATCTGGATTTTAATTCATTATAATAAAGAGCATTTGAATGAGTTTTTATTTTTTATTTTACTTTTTTTTTTTTTTACTGCCAGCTAATTGTTACTTATTAATTATACATTTTAAAATGCTCTCATTTCATGCTCTGATTTAGTCAACCAGATAATGAGAAACTAAAAATGATGAGTAAATAGGGACAAGGTGCTAAAAATTGCTGGTTTCCATGGCCATCACCATGGAAACCAATGGGCTCAGCAGAAATGTGCATTTGGCGATTACTAGG